TTGTGCCACTGGGCCCTGTAGGACACCTACTACATAAAGTTACTCTACCAAGACCAGGATATATAACAGCTCTACTTAATACATAGAAGCAAATGCACAGAGGCAGTCAAAATTAGGAGATAGAGATGCATGTCAAAAATAAAAGGCAGGAAAAACTCCAGAAAAAGAACTAAGCAAAATGGAGTCATGCTATCTGCCAGATGCAGAGTTTAAGACACTGGTTGTAAGGATGCTCAATGATCTGAGTGAGGACTTTAGCCAAGAGATAGGAAACATAAAATTGGGGATAGAAAACAAAAAATAACAGTATCGTGATTGCTGGGGGCACGGGGCATAAAGGGGCTAAATGGTAATGTAAAAAATACAATAAAGATTAAATTAAAAAGTAAAAGAAAAAATATTCCAGAAAAAAACAGAAAACATAAAAAATAATCAGTCAGAAATAAAGAATACAATAACTGAAATGAAGAATACATTGCAGGGAATCAACAGTAGAGTACATGAAGCAGAGGGTCAAATCAGCAATTTAGAAGACAAGGAAGCAGAAAACAGTCATTCAGAACACCAAAAAAGAAAAAAGAGTGCCCCCAAAATGAGGATAGTGTAAGGAGCCTCTGGGACAAATTCAAGCATATCAACATTCACATCATGGGGCCCCAGAAGGAAGAGAGGAAGAGCAAAGAATTGGAAACCTATTTGAAAATATGTCAAAAAAACTTTCCTAACCCTGTGAAGGAAAGAGATATACAATTCAGGAAGCACAGAGTCCCAAACAAGATGAACCCATAAAGGACCACACCAAGATACATCATAATTAAGATGCCAAAGGTTATGTATACTGGCCATCTATATGTCCTCTTTGGAGAAGTGTCTATTCAGGTCCATTGCCCATTTTTAAAAAATTGGTGCTCAACATCACTAATCATCAGAGAAATGCAAATTAAAACAAAAATGAGATACCATTTCACACCTGTCAGATTGGCTATCATCAATAAATCAACAAACAACAACAAACAGATGACAAGGATGTGGAGAAAGGGGAACTTTCTTGTACTGTTGGTGGGAATGCAGATTGGTGCAGACACTGTGGAAAGCAGTATAGAGATACCTCGAAAAATTAAAAATGGAACTGCCTTTTGACCCAGCGATTCTACTTCTGGGAATTTATCCAGAGGAACCCCAAACACTAATTCAAAAGAACATAAGCACCCCTATGTTCATTGCAGCATTATTTACAATTGCCAAGATATAAAAGCAGCCCAAGTGTGCATAAGTAGATGAGTGGATAAAACAACTATGGGACCTTTACACAAGGGAATACTACTCAGCTGTAAAAAAGAAGAAAGTTTTACCCTTTGCTACAGTATGGATGGACCTGGAGAGCATTATGCTAAGAGAAATAAACCAGTCAGAGAAAGACAAATACCATATGATTTCAGTCATATGTGCAATCTAATGAACAAACAACTAACAAGCAAAACAGAGACAGACTCATATATATAGCAGGCTGGCAGCTAAGGTGAGGGGGGAAGAAGGAGAAATTGAGCAAAGAGGAAAAAGGATTCATGGACAGGGACAACAGTGTGGAGATCGCAGGAAGGAGGGTGTATAAGGAGACTAAATGGTAATGAAAAAAAATACCAAAAAATTATTAAATTAAAAAATGTATCTGTTGTAAGTCATATGCAGTTTTTCTGAAATCAATCTGACAAACTTCATTTTAAAATAAAAGCATTTAATTGAAGTCTATTAATCTAAAGTAGTTTCTGATATTTGGGTTCAAATCTACATTTTTACAAAGATATATGCACCCCTATGTTCATTGCAGCATTATTCATGGTGGCCAAGACATGGTGACAACCAGAGCGTTCTTTGATAGAGAATTGGATAAAGAAGATGTGGTATATATATACAATGGAATACTACACAGACATGAAGAAAGATGAAATACTGCCATTTGTGACAGCATGGATGGACCTTGAGAGTATTATGCTAAGCAAAATAAGTCAGAAAAGGCTAAGAACATGATTTCACTTATATGTGGATAATAACACTGAAACTCATGGATACAGACAACAGTATGGTAGTTACCAGAGGGAAGAGGGTATGGGGTGGAATAAAAAGGGTAAACGTGGCCAAATATATGGTGATGGAAGATCATTTGACTTTTGGTGGTGAGCACACAATGCAATACACAGATCATGTATCATAGAAATGTATACTAGTAAAAAAATAAATAAACAAACAAATCTACCAAAAAAATGCCAAAAGTTAAAGACGAAGACAATCTTAAAAGCAGCAAGAGTAAAGCAATTAGTTACCTACAAGAGAGCTCCCACATGACTGCCAGTTGATTTCTCAAAAGAAACAATGTAGGTCAGAAGGGATTGTCAAGAAGTATTCAAAGTGATGAAAAGCATGGACCTATAATGAAGATTACTCTACCAGAGAGGCTATCACTTAGAATCAAAAGACAGATAAATAGCTCCCCAGGCAGGAAAAAAACTGAAGGAGTTCATCATCCAAACCAGAATTACAAGAAATGTTCATCTTTAAGCAGAAGAGAGAGATTAAAAATTTGAATAATAAAATGGTAACAAATACATATCTATCAACAATTACTTTAAATGCAGTTGGATTAAATGCTTTAATAAAAGATCATACAGTGGCTAAATGGACAACAAAACAAGACCCTTACATATGCTATCTACAAAAGACTCACTTCAGATCCAAAGACACATAAACTTAAAGTACAGGGATGGAAAAAGATAGTTCATGAAAATGGAAATAAAAAGTTTAAAAGTTGGGATAGCAATACTCATACCAGACAAAGGCTATAACAAGAAACAAAGAAGGACCCAGCAATTCCATTTCTGGGTATTTATCCAAAAGAACTCAAAACACTAAACTGAAAAGACATATACTTCCATATGTTCCTTGAAGCGTTATTTACAATAGCCAAGATATGGAAGCAACCTAAGTGTCCATTAATAGATAAATGGGTAAAGAAGAAGTGGTCCAATATATACAATGGAATAATACTCATCCATAAAGAAGAACAAAATCTTCAGTGGACCTAGGTGGTATTGTGCTGAGTGAAATAAATCAGACAAAGACAAATGCCAGATAATTTCACTTCTATGTGGAATCTAAAGAATAAAATAAACAAGCAGAACAGAAACAGACTCACAGATACAGAGAACATTTTTGACAGTTGCTGGAGGGGAAGGGTGTTGGTGGACTGGGTGAAAAAGGTGAAGAGATTAAGAAGTACAAATTGGTAGTTACAGAATAGTCATGAGGATGTAAAGCACAGGATAGGGAATATAGTCAATAGTATTATAATAAGTATGTATGGTGCCTGATGGGGATACTAGATTTATCGGGGTAATTGCTTCATAAATTACATAAATGTCTAATTACTGGGTTGTACACCTGGAAATAATATAGTATTGTACATCAACTGCCATTGAAAAATTAAAAATTACTTTAAAGAAATCCCAGGCATATGAATTGAAAACTTAGAGTATAGCCTTTGAATGTATTTGACGATACCTCAAACACTGCTAAATTTTAGCAGAACAGACTAGCACCAATTTAAAGAAATATTGCTCTGATGATGCATATATTTGTTAATTTTTGAAGCAGCATATACCTTTTAAGGAAATCAAAACTAATTCACTATAATTAAAATAAAATACTGTTATCTATGGATATAACAGACTATATTTGATTTTAAAACATGACAATCCTGATTACTTAAAGTGAATGAACTCAGGTGATATCTGGCAGTGGTTCATGACCTGTCCAGACATTAAAGTCATTTGGATAGCTTCTGAAATATACTTATGCCCAGTTCTACCAGGCATTTTAGCTTATTTGATCTGGGAGTAGAGGCTGGGTACTGGATATTTTTAAAGAAGCATTCAAGGCAATTCTAACAAGCAACTACAGGTGACAACCTTTTTAATAATGTTTATAGAATTCAGATGCCAGCTTTCTTCTTGAACACAAACCATATCAACTACTCAGCTAAAATACAATTTTAAATTTTTTTGAATTGTAAAAATAACTGGGACAAAGCAATATAGCCAAAGTAATAGTTTGATATTGTTTTTAAAATATTAGGTTATTTTTTTACTTTTATATTTCACTAGACCATAGTGATTGGGCTGTTTACTTAGCTCTAAACTAAGGGAGGGTCTAATTTAATTCTCTTGAGTGTACAACAATGTCTTTTTCCCCTCACCAAATTTAAAACTTGCCTGCATCAGTCTGAAAAGTGAGAAAATTGGTTTTTTTAAATCATTCATTCTGCTTAGAAACAATGGTGAAAAACAAAAGCAAACTTACCGAAGTATAAATACCTATACAGTTTTTCAATTAGGTTGTGATGAGTTAGCCCTACAGAAAGTTCATATTGGTGGTGGAGGGGGTGGAGCTTAAGCTTCAGAGATAGCCAGTACAGTGTAAATAAAATTGGAAAAAGGATGAAGGAAGAAGCATATGAGAAATGAGGATAATGAAGAAGTGTCAAAACTGCGCAGAATTTAAAAACACCAATTTGGGAGTGTTTCAAGCTATATCTCATTCTAATGAGAAAATTTATTCGGTACTTGATATATGTATATATATTTCATTTGATATACTTTGAAAAACTTCTTGTGAATAAATCCTAAGCACTTCAAGGTTATTTTACTTGAATACTATAGCAATATCTTCCAAAATTTTTGGATGTTTCTCACTGATCCCTTTACCTCCTGCCCCTCTTCCCAGAAATCAAAGGCAACTCTGAGAAAGGAAGATGAAAATCTGGTGATTCAATTAGTCCAGATATTCAGCAGACTATCTATATTATTGAAGAATGGTCTTAATTTATAAAACTTCACATTTTTCTTCTTTCTAGGAGTCTAAGAAAAAAATGAATTTAACAAGCCAGAGAGCAAAATAAAATATCAATAAATGTTTACAAAATTAAAAGCTAAGAATTTTCAACTTACTGTGCAATCTGGGAGTGAGATCTCTTGAGCCGTTGATCAGCACATTCAATAATTTCTTCATAAGATGTAATCTTGAAAAAATAAGATAAACAAATTATTCTTGGATAAATTCTAGAATTTTTATTTAATTTTATTTATTTATTTTTTGCTTTTTAAAATCTCTACAAGTTGAAGTTCAATTAAATGACTCCCATCAATGAAAGTTTTACAATAGGCAAAACATCTTCCTTATATTTTGAAAACAGAAATAGAAATGGAATTATAGTATGTCTATTCAACATGCAGAAAATTAAGTGTCAAAAAAGTGGACAACTGTAGTGAATCAATTATGATCCAGTTGTCTTTCAGAGAAGTGGTGTACATATCAACTAAGAGATATAGTCCATTTGGTTAAAGTTTATGCAGTTTTAAAAAATTATTAACAATCTATTAAGATATAATTCACATAGCATACAGTTGACTATATGCTAGTCATATAGTCTATGACTACTTAAAACATACAGTTCAATGGCTTTTCGTGTATTCACAGATATGTGCATTCATCACCACAATCAAGTCTAAGACATTCTCATTACCCCAAAAAGAAACCTCGTATCTCTTAGCTGTCACTCCCCACTCTCTCCATACCCCTAGTCCTGGGCAACCACTCATCTACTTTCTGTCACAGATATGTCCATTCTGGATTGTTCAGATAAATGGAATCATATATGTGACTGGCTTCTTTCATATCATAGCATGATGTTTTCAAAGATCCTCTCTGTTGTAGCGCATATCAGTATTTCATTTCCTTTTATTGCCAAAAAATATTCCACATATGGATATGCCACATATCATTTATACAGTCATCATTTGATAGATATTTGAATTATTTCCACTTTTTGTCAATTATGAATAATGCTGTTATAAACATTTGTGTACAGTTTTTGTGTGGAAATATGTTTTCATTTATCTTGGATATATACATAAGAATAGAGTTACTAGATCATATTGTAAAGTTTTTAAAATATAGAATCATGTAAAGGAAAAGTCACATTTTTTACATTCAATGTTTTTTTTTATTAATTTCAGTTGTAAAGTATAGTGGTTAAACAATTATATACTTTACATACAAAGTGTTTCCCCAATATTTCTCGTGCCCACTTGGCACCATACATAGTTATTACAATACTAGTGACTTTATTTTCTATGCTCTACTTTACACCCCTATGACTATTTTGTAACTACCAATCTGTTCTCTATCCTTTTACCTTTCTTCACCTAGTTCCCCAACCTTCTTCCCCTCTGGCAACCATCAGTCTGTCCTTTGTATCTATGAGTCTGTTTCTTTTTTGTTTGTTCATTTATATTATTCTTTAGATTCCACAAATAAGTGAAATCATACAGTATTTATCTTTTCTCTGACTGACTTATTTCACTTAGCATAATATTGTCTCGGTCCATCCATGTTGTCACAGAAGGTAAAATTTCATTCATTTTTATTGCCAAGTAACATTCCACTGTACATATGTACCACAGCTTTTCAATCCACCCATTTATTGATGGCCACTTGGGTTGCTTCCATATGTTAACGGTTTCTGAAAGGCAAACTAGAACACTGAGTTGGCAAAATTTAAAATTACCCTCAAAATGAAGTAGCAATATTAAAACCTGAAGTTGCTGACAGCAGAAGGATAGATACACACAATTTCCTTTTGCTAACTTTCAGCCAAAAGGCTAATGGGGACTTTTTATAACATCATTAGGAAGTAAAAGAAAATCTATATAAATGTGTTGTATCATTCCCTCAGATCTTTTTTAGCTCCAAAATTCTATTATTTTAATATTTGGCATAGTTTTCAAAAGACAAATTTCTGTAAGAAAATTTGTACCTTATTTATTAAATTGCCTAAATGTCTTTGATACTTGTCATTTTCTTTAACGAGTCTGGTGCAGTGGTCTTCTTTTGACTCTAGAAGATTTCCCAGTTTTGCAATCTATGGAGAAGCATAAGTAAAAATATAAACCTGGAAACAGCCATGAAAGAATGAATGCTAAGACCAAGTGAGAACTGTGAGCTATACTTTATTCCAATATTCTCTCAAACTGAGTTGTACTGTAGGTGAATCAAGAGATGCTGTGAACTGACACAGACAGCAGTATGGTGGCTGCCAGAGGGAAAGGGGGGAGGTGGGGAGGTAGAAAATGCCAAAGGGAGTCAAATATAGGGTAACAAAAGCAGATTTGACTTTGGCTAGTGAACACACAATGCAATCTACAGATGATGTATTATATAGAATTGTGCACTTTAAATCTATATAATTTTATTAACCTGTTTCACTGCAGTCACTTTAATAAAGTTAAAAGAAAAAAGATGCTAAGAACCAGATACTAGTTAGATTGCATTTAGAATAGATAAGCAGAAATTATGTTTCAGCTTTTCTCTTATTTAACACTCTGAAACAGCTTTGCAAAAAATTAAACACTTGTTGGTGAATGCAGATATTTATTAGCCCCCAACTCTTCCCTACCTTCTCTCCATATGTAACCAATGTAAAGACTTATTTGCTTCTGACTAAAACACTGTTGTTGTGCTTAACAATGCATTTTCATCTGTGATAAATACTCTCACTTACATAAATGACTGCCAGTTTTAAAAAAGGTTCAGCTCAATGTATGTCATATTCTGACCTATGGTTGAATTTTTATTTTCAGAAAAACCATTAAAAATTAAATATGATATTTTAAAAGTGACATCTAGGATTAATGATCAGGAAAGGGTATTTACAAGTTCCCTTAGCAGTTACCTTAATTTTCAAAGAAATTACAGAAGAAAAACAACAGAAATATTCCCATTAAATAATGTTAAGAATGGCCATCAATCTTCTAATGTTTTAAAAATACTTACATTTCCCCAGGAAGCAAAGGCTAACAAATTTTCTGCAGAAATAGCAACTAACTTGTTTTTTCTTTCTTATGTAAATGAGTTAATGGGACAATTTCAGATCAGCAGTCTTATTCAACTGATTGCACACATTATTTAAAGTAGGGAGTGCAGACATTATCACCTCAATTTAACAGATGAAACCAAGGTGAAGAGAATTTCAAAGATTTTTGAAGGATATGTCTAGAAGTAGAAAATATTTATCAACCATTAGCATAAAGCCTTTTCTATTCTGTTCCTTTGCATTTCATCTCACTCCTGGAGTGTAGATTTCCACTCAGCTTCACATAACGCATGATGTTTTACTGAAGCAATATGGAATTTCTCCTCACTTTTTCATTATAAACTTCATGGAATATTTTGAATTTCTTTCATGGTTTTCCAGATTAAAGTAATTCTTATAAGTCCTCGAATGAATATTTATTTGCTAACCTCAGATTAAAGAAAGAATAGCAAAATATATCTTAAAGAATATTTATTTTTGAGATAAAGAGATTGCTCTGTAAACTGGTTTTTGGGTTATAATGAGAAAATGTAAAATTTTAAGTTTCTTCTAAAGAGTATTAAGTTTCATTACTTTGAGAGTATAACACATATATAATAAACTGCACATATTTAAAGAGCACAACTTGATAAGTTTTTACATATGTATACAACTATGAAACCATCACCACAATCAAGATAGTGAACATATCCACCACAGCCCCTCCCACCAAAGTGTCCTCCTGCCTCTTGATAATCCCTCCCTCCTGCCTTTCTTTCTTGACTCCCACACTCTATGCTAGCCCAGGAAAATGCTGATCTGCTTTCTGTCACCATTGATTCGTTTGTATTTCCTGGAGTTTCATATAATGGAACCAAACAGCATTTACTCATGGCTGGCTCTTTTCACTCAGCATAATTATTTTGAGATTCATCTAGGTTACCTATGTGTAAGAAGTTCATTTTTTTTTTTACTAAGTGTATCATTGTATGGTTTATCCATTCATCTGTTGTACACAGTTGAGTTGCTTTCAGTTTTTGGCTATTTTAAACAATGCTGCTGGGAACCTTCATTTGCAAGTCTTTGTATAAACATATACTTTTGATTCTCTTGGGTAAATATCTAGGAATAGAATGATGGTATGTATATTTTTAACTTTTTAAGAAACTGCCCAAATGTTTTCCAAAGTGGTTGTAGCATTTTATATTCCCACCAGCAGTGTATAAGAGTTCCAATTACTTCACTTCCTCACCAATCCCTAGTATGAGCAGTATTTTTTTTTTCCCCAGATCAAGAGATGAATCCATGGCATAAGAATCCATGGTGTTGAAGCTAGAGAGGAACTCTCACACCCTCCTCCAGGGTCTGGATTCTATTGGGCTATTGGGCTAGTCCCCCAAACATTTCCTCCCAGCTTTCACTCAACTGGAGCGCTTGCTTTCCCCTCAACTCCCAAGTTAACATCTTCTTCTACACCCTCATGGGTTCCACTGACTGATCAAACTGTGATGTTTGTCATTCACCCTCTTAGCTTCTCATTCCTGAACTATGCCCCCTTCATAGTTTTCCCACCTCCCCAAATCCCAGAAATGTTTGTCCCATCTTTTTTTAAATACACACACACACACACACACACACACACACATATCTTTTGACCACCTTCATTAATTTCTCCCACTCCCCTCCCCTTTCACCCCTCCCTGCAATCGCCAACAACCGTTTCTCTGTATCTGAGATTGGTTTTGTTGTTGCTGTTTTTTGGTGGGGTTTTTTTTTTATTCCACATATAAGATAAATAGTATGATATTGATCTTTTTCTGACTTATTTCACTTAGCGCAATGACCTTGTGGATCATATAGTCATTCTATTTAATTTTTGAGGAATCTTCATACTGTTTTCCATGGTGGCTGCACCAATTTACATTCCCACCAACAGTGCACAAGGGTTCCCTTTTCTCCACATCCTTGTCAATATGTGTAATTTTCTGTCATTTTGATAACAGCCATTCTAACAGGTGTGAGGTAATTTCTCTGTAGTTTTGATTTGCATTTCTCCGATGATTAGTGATGTTGAGCATCTTTTCATGTACCTGTTGGCCATCTGTATGTCTTATTTGGAAAGTATCTATTCAGATATTCTGCTCAATTTTAACAGAATTTGTTTTTGCTTTGAGTTGTATGAGTTTCTCATATATTTCAGATATTAACCCGTTATCAGATATATGATTTGCAAATATTTTCTCTCATTCAGTAGGTTGCCTTTTTGTTCTGTTGATTTCCTTTTCTGTGCAGAAGCTTTTTAATTTGATGTAGTCCCACTTTTTATTTCCTTTGTTGCTTTTACTTTTGGTTTCAGGTTTAAAAAATTGTCACCAAGACCCACGTCAAAGAATTTACTGCCCACGTTTTCTTCTAGAAGTTTTTAGGAATATTTTATTGTTTATGCTACTAAGTTGTCCCAGTTTTTCCCCTTCGCCTCCCTCCACCCAGACCCTTCAGAAGGTTTATGTTTTCAGATATTATGTTAAAGACTTCAGTCCATTTTGAGTTGATTTTTGTGATTGGTATAAGAAAGATAGTGGTCTCGTTTCATTCTTTAGCATGTGGCTGTCTAATTTTCCCAACACTATTTATTAAAGATACAGTCCTTTTCTCCTTTTGTTGTAAACTTATTGACCAGATATGTGTGGATTTATTTCTGGGCTCTCTCTTCTATTCCATGGATCTACGTGTTTCTTTTTATACCATTATCATATTGTTTTAATTACTATAGCATTGTAACAGAGTTTGAAATCAGAGATCATGATGTCTTCAGTTTTTTTCCCTCTTTCTCCAGAATGTTTTGGCTATTTGGGGTCTTTTGTGTTCCATACAAATTATAGGTTTGTTTGTCCCATATCTGTGAAAAATGCCATGGGAATTTTCATAGATATTACATTGAATCCATAGACTGCTTTGGACAGTATGGACATTTTAACAATATTAATTCTTCTAATCCATGAGCATCAATTATCTTTCCACTTATTTGCATCTGCTTCAGTGTCTTTCCTTAATGTCTTCTGTTCAGTCTTTTAAATATACATTCTAATGGGTGTGTAATGGTATTCATCATGGTTTTAATTTACGTCTTAATGATGACGAAGTAAAATGTAGGTATAAAATATAGTGGTTAGACAATGATATACTTTACAAAATGTTCCCTTAATACTTCCAGTACCCCCATCTAACACTATACAAAGTTATTGCAATATTATTGACTCTTACTTATGCTGTACTTTACATCCCCATGACTATTTTGTGACTACCAATCTGTACTTCCTAATCCCTTCACTATTTTCACCCAGTCCCCAAACCCTCCTCTCCTGGCAATCATTAGTCTGTTCTTTGTCTCTTTCTGTTTTGTTCATATTGTTCTTTAGATTCCATGTGTAGATGAAATCATATGGTATTTGTCTTTCTCTGACTTACTTAGCATAATACCCTTTAGCATAATACTCTTTAGCATAATACGCTTTAGCATAATAATCCATGCTGCCACGAATGGCAATATTTCATTCTTGTTATGTTTTCCCACTAGTCTAATTGGGTTGATTATTTTCTTATTGTAATAGAGTTTGAGGGTTCTTTACATATTCTTGGTACAAGTTCTTTAACAGATCCATGACTTGCAAATATTTTCTCCCAGTTTGTGGCTCATCTTTTCATTAAAAGCTCAGTTTTTTAAAGTTTAAAAAAATATTTCAATAAGCCAGGGAGCGAAAGACAAATACCATATGATCTCACCTATAAGCAGAACCTAACCAACAATACAAAGATGCAAGGAAAATAAGACCAGCAACACTGAAAGGAAAAGAAATCAACAGAGACAAGAGGGAAGGAGGGAGTGGGGCGGGGAAAAGGAAGGGAAGGGGAAAGTCAAGGAACATATAGCAATGACTCATGGACAAAACCAAAGGGGAAGAGCTGAGGGAGGGAAGAAGGGAGGGGGCAAGGGAAAGTGGTGGGGGGAGGCAGAGACAAATGTATTTGAAAAAATAAATTAAAATTTAAAAAAAGAAATTAAAAAAAACTTCAAAATAGAAAAGTTTGGAAGACAGTTTATTAAAGTGAAATCACTGAAAAATCTAAAATATTTTTATAAAAGTATACAAAAGAGTACCTTTAATATGTAAAATAATATTTATGCAATGATTTAAAGGTGGAGGCAACATTTTTCTTTTGTAAAGGAATATACTATGAGATAACACTGAACATGGATATTTGGCTAATATTAATGAAACTTGTCCTTTAATGTGGTGTCTTATCCTTGATGTCTCAGAGATGTTATAAGGCTTCAGAGCTGAATGCTAGGAAACCTGAACCCACTCAAAGTCTCCGCCAAAGAAAGCAGACGTGAATAAAGAGAAACTAAAGGTTAGTAAAGTGACTTTCTATGTTTAAAGACCCTTGTAAGTAAAATAGATGACTTACATCTATCAGGTGAGGAGCAGCACTCCAAAGCTTTGTTCTGCCCTAGACCTTCCCATTCACCATACAGTTCACACAGGTGAGACTTCTCCACTTGGCAATACTCTACCTGGCCCTAAATTCCTAGATCCATAGATACTGTGCCTGGTGACCCCACACCCGCACCTCAACCTCCTGTTTGGTCCATGATTCTTGGGGCTTCCCGTCTAGGTTTTTAGCATGAAACTCACGCATAGTTTTTGGCCATGTTTAGTCCTTTGATTTTTCCATCCTCTTTTGCCTCCAGTGATGATCTCAGCTTTCATGCAGACACCTTTCCCTTTCCCTTCCCACCCCTCTCAAGTCATTGACCATACCTAAGTGAAGGTAGAAGAAATCAGATTTGAGCACAAGATAAATTGAGGAAAAAGCAGAAAATCTTTACATGGGTAGTGGACCCAGGAATATGTACTCTACAGATTTAAACCACTTTGTCTTGGAAGGCTGTCTGGAGTCTGCACATAGTGGATGTCATTTATTCTGTCACAATTCTTATTTGAAAATATAGTGCATCTGTTAAAATCTGTGTTAAATGAGAATTGCTAAAATCTGCAGATGAGACTGTACCACAGATATGATTAGTAAAAACAATGTATTGAATGTATTCATTACATTCCAATGAATGGAATGGAATGTTCCATCTTATTACAGGTATAAATTAAAAGAGCAATTGTTTACAAAAATTTCAAGTGATATTACTATTGGCAATTTTGGTAAAACAGTATCACTGACACACTGATATCTGCAAGATGAAGTTCAACTCTTTTGGAAATTCATGTGCATATTTATAGCTTAAAAAGCAGTAATCTCATTTCTGTGATTAGTGATTTCAATATGTATCACTAACAGGTGAGAGCTTTTAAAATCACAATGATACCACTGTCACATCTATTAAAATTAGTAATTTCTTCTTTTAAAGATTATATTTATTTATTTTTAGAGAGAGGGGAAGGGAGGGAGAAAGAAAGGGAGAGAAACATCAATGTGTGGTTGCCTCTCAAGAGTCCCCTCCTGGGCACCTGGCCCACAACTCAGGTATGTGCCCCAACTGGGAATTGAACCAGTGACCCTTTGGTTTACAGGCCAGTGTTCAATCCACTGAGCCAAACTAGCTGGGGCAATAATTTCTTAATATTACCTACTACCCAGGCTGTGTTTGATTTTCTGCTATTTTCTCACAAATATCTTTTTATAGTGGGTTTGTTCAAATCAGGATACACACAGGTTTCACATACTGCATTTGGTTGATTTGTCTCTAATCTGTAAGAGTTATCCCTCTCTTCTCCCTCCCTTTTCTGATGTCAGTTGTCTATTGATAATAATTTTTCACATTCTGGATCCGTTCTCATGATGTCATTTAATGTTTCTTTATCTACTGTCAACTGGTAATTAGGTCTAGCAGCTTGCTTTCAGATCTAGTTGTTTTTGATGGGACTACTTCGAAGACACTGTGTGCGTCCTCCTGCTTCATGATGGGGGACTCGGGTCTGCTTGTCTCACCTCTAGTGGTGTTGAGATTGATCAGTGGACTCAGATGTTTATTAGTCTGACCCATTCATTAACTGCTCCCTATCAGTCTTAAACTTAAAGGTTTTAGCAGCCATTATAGTTGCCTCATTTCCTTGTTTTATTCACAGATGCAAAATGTAATTTTATGAATGTATCTTTTCCTCTGTTTTTAATAGCTTACATTTTTCAATCAAGAACTCTCCCTCCTCAATTATTTGGTTTCTCTGAGATACAGTTTGTACAAGAAAGACTGTAGCAAGATTTTTAAAGTGATAGTATGTCTGACATGCTCCTATTTATGTTTTTTTCCTCATTCCAGCTTCCCAATGCTGGGAAGATTAAGGCCCGCTCTCATCATCTTTTGTGTCTGAAGCATAAAACTGCTAATGAATGACAGAATTTATTGAGTTGCTCTCATATTGCATGCCTATGCTCAAATTTTACCAATCTTCAAGGCCCAATTCCCTTCACAAAATTTCCCATGATTCTCCCACTTGGATGTCATCTGTTTCTCTGAACTCATCCTTCTACAGACATCACCTCTCTTAAATGCTTATCACTGTATCTCTTTTTAAGAAACTTTCCCTTTACTCTTTGTAAATAATTATTTATGTATTTTGTCTTTTTTTCTAGATTCCTTAGAAGCAGGAGCTATGTTTGATTTAGCTTCCTATCTCCCTAGTGACTAGTGTTCCTTAACCTTTTGTGGGAAGTCAATTACTTTTTAATGAAAAAAATTAATGAATTAGAAAAGAAGAAACATTTAAGGCTTCACAATAATGGACTTTTTCTTCTTTTAAAGATGAATGGGGCTCTCATGGGTACTCTCTTCTAAGATGACAAAAAAAAAGGAACAATGGTGTGCTAAAACAGGCTATGTCCATGTGCAGCCTATTCACTGCACCAGCTGAGCCCGATGAGTGCCCAAGGACAAGGCCATTAGGAAGCTCGTCATTTGAAACATAGTAGAGGCAGCAACTGTTAGGGACATTTCTGAAGTGAGTGTCTTCAATGCCTATGTGCTTCCCAAGCTCTATGGGAAGCTACATTACTGTGTGAATGTGCTATTCACAGCAAGGTAGTCGGGAGTCGTTCCTGTGAAGTCCAGAAGGACCGAACACCCCCACCCAGACTCAGACCTGTCAATGCTGCCCACAGCCTCCACCAAAGCCCATGCAAGGAGCTGAATCCTAAGGACTGAAGAAATAGTCTCTGGAAAAAAATAAAATGGAAATTATATTTGAAAAAGATAAACAGGTATGTTATAAATTAGTATATACACTTATTTTTAGTAATTTAGAAATATGATAGATTCTTTAATTAACTGCTATTAAAATAAATTACATTAATTAATCACCTTTTCATCATACTGGGATCCAACTGGATTGTAACTCTGTAGCTATCTAGCTACCAATATCATATTTTCATTTTCTTCTAACATATTTTTCCTGTTTATCTGCCTTTATTTTTTTCCAGCTTTGTTGAGATACAATTGGCATACAGCATTGTGTAAGTTTAAGGTATACAATTTGTTGACTTGATACACTCACATACTGCAAAATGATTCTACCATCCCATTAGCTAACACCTTCACTAAGTTAAGTAAGTACCATTTCTTTTCTGCAGTGATGCCCTTTTCTTTAGGTGCTGTCTAAAGTAAACTATGAGTAGTGTTTCCCAAAGCACCCCTTAATCATGGTGGTTGTAAACAGCTATCACAATAAGAATGGTGGTTGCATATGCAACAATGTAAATATGCTTAATTCACTATGAAAAATTACACATATCTGCCCTGGCTAGTGTGGCTCAGTGCATTGAGTGCCATCTGCGAACCCAAAGGTTTGATTCCCAGTCAGGGCACATGCTTGGGTTGTGGGCCAGGTCCCCAGTAGGGGGCATGTGAGAGGCAACCACACATTGATGTTTCTCTCCCTCTCTCCTTCCCTTCCTTTCTCTCTAAAAATAAGTAAATAAAATCTTAAAATAAAAATTGCACATATCTTTTGATTTCTGCATTTTGAAAGAAAGTAATCTAATTAGTCTACACAGAAATCAGAGGGGACATGTAAAATTTCAAAAACTGAAAATGCAAAGCTTAGTTCTATACTTTGTAAGTGAATAATACTGCCAAAATGCCAATATGTGACTGCTTTAATAAGCAAATTTCTTCAACTTGTTAATAAAATGGTGTTATATGTAAAAATGATAGTAAAGCAACAAAAAATTTTTCTTACCAAGATATTAAGCTCTTCATTTAGACTGTGGTACTTATCCAGTTTGGCTCCCAATAAGGTAGGTACATCTCTGACTTCATTTGAATTCACACTCTTGGTTTCATTTGAATCGAAGTCTGTAACCTGAGATTAAATATATTTATGTTCACTCACTTTCACACTTCTTTGAGCATTTGAAAATAAATAATTAGTGAAACAAAGAAATTTTCAGTGGCTAGAATAATAGAAGTGTAGAACTTAGAACTAGAAGGATTGAAATAAATTTACCAAAAGAATATAAACACCTGAAATTATATTTTTGCATCTTAAAGACAGTACATAGTAAAGGTTAAACTCACGTCAACAGCCTGATCTTGAAATGCTTTTTCATTAGCAATTAACTCCCTAAAAGTTGTGATTCTGTCTTTATGTTTCTGTAGCTAAGAAAAAAAAAGCATTTTATATTTCAGAGAAAGAGAGGAAATAAAACTACATTCTATAAACATTTATAATAAAATCATTAAATCATGCACAGTCCAATTCCTGGTCTTCCAAAAGACAAACTGCTTTTACAGGCTTTTGTCCAGAAGAGAGTTCACACAGCAGGCCTGAGGATGCTGTCCTTATAAAGGCCTGCTAGGCAGGCTGCCCTCCGACTGTACCTGGGAACTTCGGCTGTGGGAGTGTTTCCATCCTTTCCTGATATGAATGGCTCATTATGCGTAACATATTTGTACAAAGAATGGGGTTTATGCTGAATACCTCTTTCCGCCTGGAGGGTCTATAATTTTGGTGCGTGCTAGGGAGAAGGTGCCTATGTGAACAGCCCCCAATAAAAACTCTGGGTACTGGGTCTCAAATGGGCCTCCCTGGCAGACAATATTTCACATGTGTTGTCATAACTCACTGCTGGGGGAATGAAGCGAATCCTATGGGACTCCACTGGGAAAGGATGAAAGGTTGACTGGTTTCTTTGGCACCTTTTCCCTTTGCTGATTTTGCTCTGTATCCTCTCACTGCAATAATACATCATAGTTGCGAGTAAACTGTATGCTGAGTCCCCTGAGTCCCCACAAATCCCTGAACTTGAAGTTGGGCTTGGGATCTCCAGGGAGCTTATCCTAATATTCCATTGTTTTTATAATCAGGCTATGAAAATTCTTCTTTAAAGAAAAAAAAACTAACCAACTTTTCTACATGCAATTTATAATGATTTCTTATTTGTTCCTTCAGCATAACAATAAATCTTAATATTCAAATATCAGTGATATAAAGGGTGCTGCACAGAATATTTTTTATTATGAACAATTTCCAATATTTTTTAAAAATAGAGAAAAACTTTCATGAACCACCATGTAACTATCATTCAGCTTCAACTATTAATAGCTAATGGCCAATCTCGTATCATTTATATTTCCAGCCACTTCATTTTTTCTCCATGGCCTTCACCAAATCAAGTCACAGACATCATATAATCTCATTTGCCAATATTTCAGGAATTACACAGAAATTTACCAAAAGAGCATAAATATTTCAAATCATATTTTTGTACCATCCTGCTCCAACCCTCAACTTAGCTTATTTTTGAAGACTGGTTTAAGAAGTGGAAGCCAGTAATTTTTGTGCATGTTTATTTATTTCTTGATCCTTCTCTCTACAGGTTAACTAGGAGACAAAAGAGTTTCCCCAGAATACCTGCAACACATTTGCTCTCCCCTCAGTTCACAGAAGTAATTTCCTGATAGCACAGAACTAACTTTGTTATAATAACCCAAGATTTCAGATTTAAATATGTTTTTATTCCTTTAGCCAGATAAATTTGTCACTTTTGTATTCCTCTCAGATTAAAAACTGCACAGGTTAACATTCTGTTATCACCATCCCTATCTAATTTTCTCTCTTTTTTTTAATCCTCACTCGAGGACATGCTTATTGATTTTAAAGAGGGGGGAATGGGGTTGGGGGAGAGAGAGAGAAACATTAATCAGTTGCCTCTCTTATGTGCCCCAGCCAGGGACCGAACCCACAACCCAGGCATGTGCCCTGACCAGGAATTGAACTAGCAACCTTTTGGTTTATGGGACAACACTCCAGCCAAGTGAGCCACACCAGCCAGGGTTTAACTTACTCTCTTAATTTTATTTTTTATTCTCTGTAGCACTAGAGCAAGAAAAGAATAATTGAAGAAATTTCAAGAGCTTCTTCCTTACCCTTGTTCCACATAAGAAATAAAATGATTTGTTTTCACTTTATCCATTATTCCAAGTAATAAAGTTTGTAATCACTATAAAAATGTCAAAATACAGTATTTTTCAAGAATCAGTAGTGCCATGCAAAAGTGAAAAAATAATCATACCAATTTTTTTGATAGATGAACAAGACTTTCTAATACAGACCTATATTATAATACAAGTCAAATTTTGCACAATATATCTTCTTAGTGAGAGCCATAGTAAAGCTAATCTGGTCCACAAAAACAATTCTTTTTTAATTTAATTTAATTTTTTATTTCTTACAGAGAGGGGAAGGGAGGGAGAAATAAAGGGAGAGAAACATCAATATGAGAGAGAAATATTGACTGTTGCCTTTTATAAGCTCCAGGAGTGATTCTGTCACCCAAGCATGTGCCCTGATCATGAAACAAACTGGTGACCTTTCGGTTTGCAAGACAGTGCCCCACCAACTAAGCCATACCAGCTGGGGTGCACAAAAACAATTCTTCTAAAAAAAAAAATCCAAATTTTAGGATTCTCTTTATACATTTATATTACCTTTTACTTTGACTATTTTTTCACTAAAAATGATACCATTGTTATTTAAAATTTTTTTAATTTAGAGAGAGAGAAACGTTGATTTGTTGTTCTGCTTACTTATGCATTCATTGGTTGATTCTTGTATGTACTCTGACCAAGGATCAAACCGGCAATCTTGGCATATGGGGATAATGTTCTAACCAACTAGCTGCCCAGCCCGGGTGATACAATTTTTAGAATGAAGAATTCATACAGTACCTCTTCATCTAAATTTTTCTTTTTAAGATGGAAACTCTTCAATTTTTGCAGCATTGTATCACTAACTTTCTCACTCTCTTTGAAATGTTCAGCATCGAGATTGCTGATGTCCTAAAGATAACAGTTTGAGAAGCTAGTTTAAAATGTTTTCAGTAAAGCTAAAAGAAAGAAGGGAAAAACACAAATGAAACAAATGTCCCTCCCAAAATAAGTGACCAAACCAAAGGAGGTAAAATAATATTGAACTCAATTCTTCAATTACTCATCATGAGACATCCAATAAAGGGTTAGTGTGGAAAGAATTAATATAGATTTATACTTGTATACAAATTGTTTTGGGGACAGATTAATAAAATCAATGGGATGTTAATGCTCATTTATAATAACTATACATGCTCATGTATTCATACGTACATCCCTTCCTAACCTAATCAGTTAACTAATTCAAATTCTAGATAAATTATTGTAACTGACACTAAAATAATCAGACATCCTCAATAATACTAAAATTCTAGAATGAGAGTACTTGTACCAAAATAATCTAAGAGTGAAAAGTGCATGTATAGGAGTCAGACTGCCTGGGAGATTCTGCCTGAGCTCTGCCACTTTATCACATGTCAGACTTTGGACAAGAAACTCAACAATTCTAAGCCTTGATTTGTTTATCCATATTTTTTTTAAAGCCTGAAAATAAATATAAAGAATGGTGTTAGAGCTAATCCATGAAAAGCAGAAACAGTAAACTTAAATGGCTTCGAGGACAGGTTGGGAAGTCAGCAAATACTTGCCTATTAGGAGCTTAACCTGTATTAAGCATACAGAACATACAACATACCAAGTCTCTAATCTTGAAGGTTTATGTCCTAGTCGGGTGGGAGACAGAACAAGCAAACATAATATTGGTACTAAGAAGATCTATACTTCATTACTGAGAGGTCTGGTAGAGGAGAAGCAGCCAGCAAATATGACAGAGAAAGAACAGCCACTGCCAGTGAGATGGGAGAAAACCAAGTAAATACGGTGAATGGGCATATGTTTGAAAGCCAGGAACGGTGAAAAGGTTTGCAGCCAAGAAGAGGCTGTGTCACAAATTCCAGTATTTAAAAACACAACTTTAGGTAGATGGAGTCTGTGGGCCACTACTTTGTGATCTCTGCATAAAACGCTTAGCTCCATGTCTAGCATTCAGTAAATGCTAGTGTTCAACACATTTTAGCTAAGTCAAAATGGAAATAAGGTTTGTGTTGGAGCAGGAACATCACAAACCTATGCCATCAAACTTTGGCTTAGATGAATGCACTTAAGATCAAAGAAATGCAATAGAAGTGGAAAGAAGAGAGCTAGTTAATTTGAGAAACTATCAAATGTCATATTCTTTAATGTATTCTCATTAAATGTAGTGCTCTTTAGCTCCCAGGGCAGCGGCAGGTATCATTTCCCCTAATTACTTGAGGAAACGAAGGTAAAGTTACTTGGCCGTCACAGAACAGCCAGGAAATGGTGAAGTCAGGATTCGAACTCACTTGGCACTTACTTCATTTTTCATTCTATTAATGTACATAGCTCCACACTGTCCTTCTCCTTGGCCCAAAGCAATATTTTTAGATTGGGTAACAGCTCATTAATGTGAACAATCACTTATCCCTAGGAGCAGAATGACCCACAGTGTAAGACTACTGCTCTGAAAGAGCTTTCCTGAAAATGGGAAGTACTAAATGAAGGGTGTCACTGGGAGTCTTTATTTTTTATCCTATGTTACCATACTATATACTTGAGGGGTTTAGGTGTTGAAGAAAGATAAACAGAAAGAAACAGTAGGAGGAAGAAAAGGCTAATTGATTGGTTTAAGGGTGTCTATTTTGTCTTCCATTATTTTATTTCATAACTTAATTCTGTCATCTCACACTGCCTCTTTTGGTTTAAGTCCAACCTCAGGATTTCTCCCCCACTCAATAAAAATATGCATTTTTAAATTACCTGGCATGTGATAAATCTTGTCATCAGAGCCAGAAGATTGTGAATTTTGAAGGCTGGCTGGAAAGTCCTTTTCATGTCTGAGGGATTCATGCTTTCTTCTTCACAAGGTAAGTAATTCAGGAACAAATTAGAATGTATCATCTTTGCATCCTATGTGTACACAATTCAGATTTTTCACAATAAGATAAAGAGTCTGGGTTACTTTTAAAGTAAAATGCTGAATAAAATATCACTTCTAAAAACTCTGAATTGTCGTTCTCAAACTTTTTGATTCTCAGGACCCCTTTCTACTCTTAAAAGTTGTTGAGGATCTCAAAAACATTTTGTTCATGTAGGTTATAGCTATTAATATTTGTTGCATTAGAAATTAAAAGTGAGAACATTTAAAAATATTTACTTTTAAATAACAATAACTCTATTGTGTCACTATAAATAACAATTTAACAAAAAATTAATGCATTTTACAAAACAAAAAATTAATCAGAAGAGTGGGACTGTTACATTTTTTTGCAAATATTTTTAATACTGGCTTTATGGAAGACAGCTAGACTCTCATATTTGCTTCACACATTGTATGAGCCATGAAAACAATTACAACATCACACATCATTTAGTTTCTGGGATATTCCACTTTACATTTGTGAAAGAATGAAAGTGAAAAAGGCAATAACATCTTTATATTACTATGAAAATATTTTTGACTTCACAGACACTCCCAGATCACACTTTGAGAAAATGGACCTAGAGTTAATAAAAAGCAAAACTAAAAACAGAGTAAGGATGACTTGGGGATATTAAAGAAATTGGTTAATCAAGATAAAACAAAAAATTTTACTTTTTTTAAAAAAGAAAGCTCGAGGAAAAAAATTATATGCTGTGATAAACTTCTGTACATTTACACTAATTCATTCAGAGTTTACCACTTTAAAAATTGTCATGATTTGGTTAGCAGCTAAACTTAAGTTCATCTTTGCTTAAGTTAATGTTTCTCAGAGTGTGATGCCTGGACCAGCAGCATCAATGAGACCTAAGATCTTGTTAGAAATCCACATTCTCAGGCCCCACCACATACCTACTGAATCAGAAACTCTGGGGTGGGCCCTAATAATCTGCATTTTCACAGCTGATGTTCATGCATGCTAAAGTTTAAGAACCACTGGCTTAGATAATCCTCCCTTCTTTATGGAGAAAAGGTCACAAAGAAAATTTTTTAAACAGAGAGAATGTTTTCCTAAAAATCATTAAAAATAGAATTATTTACTTGCCAACAAGTATAGGTACTGATTACAGATTCATGAAAGAGTCCACCGCGGACATCTTAAGACAACATATCAGCTCATGTTATAACAAATACAAAAAATAAACATCCATTTTTCTTGTTCAGACTAGCCTTCTTTCTAAGAAGTCAGAGTTAATAAGATGGTACTGTAACAATTTTAAGGCAGGCCTACAAAACTGAAATAGTTGTGCTCGGTTTTGTGAAAATTATTACTTCCAGGACATGCTTCCAGGTTCTTGACCACCAAAAAAGCCATTTGAACTGCAGAGAATATCAAATTACAGCCCCTCCAAAAATACTGATATGGCTCTCATATTCTCATGCTGTTTTTAACTGATGTTAACTAGATTTATTGTGGTGATCATTTTACAACGTATACAAATATCACATCATTATGTTGTACTCCTGAAACTAATATAATGTTATATATCAATTATATCTCAATAAAAATGTTTATAATTTTACAAAATGAATGTGATATAATATAGGTTTGTTTTACCATGTAAACCAAATATGCAATTATATTATTTACTTTTATTGTTGAAGAGATTAAAACCCCCACTTAGAAAAATGATTTCTCAAAGGATGCTAAAGATAATTGGTCAGATGTACCGAGAAAAATCCCATTAATTTTCATGTTTACCAAAATAATCACAAGAGACTAGAAATGGCTGTTCTTTAATGTAGGTACCCAAGAACCGAAGAAAATTCTCCAAACCTGTGGTGCATTTTCCATTCTCTTTTTGCTTTATAATTCTTTCTGCAAAAAAATTTGTTATGCCTAATGATGCATCACCAGATTATTAGAAACTGCTGAGTTCTGCATTAGAGATTTTGAATTTGTGACAGTACCTTTGTGATATTTGACTTCATTACTTCCTCTAAATGCTCCTTTAACTGGGCAATCTCAAATTTAGGGACATAATTTTGCTCCTCACTCCTTGCAACCTGCTGCTGAAGTTTTGCATTTTCATTTTTTACTTCGTTGATCTTCTGCTCAAGTTTTGTATTCTTGGCCCTTTCACTTTCAGACATGAATTGCACATTTTTAAATTGCGCTACTAATTTCTCAAGTCTACATTTCAGTTTCTGTCTTTCTTCCAGGTTTTCCTTTTCATGTTTCTGAAATTCTTCCTGTAAAGACAGGAACTCTTGTTCTCGGGTCTCTTTTTCCCTTTTCAATAAGCCCAAAGCAGAACTGGTGGCATTTTCCAATTCTCTTTTGAGTTGCTGCAGTCTCTCTACCTCTTCTTCTTTCTTGCTTAAGGCTTTGCCCATCTCTATGCACTGACTAACAGTTTTGGTTTTTTGTTGCATTTCAGTTATGTACCTTTCCTGTAGACAAACATAATTTCCCTTGATCCTCTTAAGCTCTTCCTGTAAGATTTCCTTTTCTTTTCTAGATTCCTGAAGATGTTTTTGGGTGTTAGTTAAAATGTCATGCAAATTCTGCAATGTCTTGTCAGTTTCATTCTTCTCTATCATTACTCTATATTTGTCTTCAATTAATGCTTCGACATTCTCCTTTAGCTTATTTATGATATCAACAAACATGTGCTGCTTGTTAGTCTTCACCAGTAGTTCTTCAACCTTCTTCTCTAAGTACATGTTAGTACACTGTAGGTTTTGGATCAGAGTTTGCTGCTTTTTGTTAGTATGTTTTAATTTCTGCAAGACTTCATTTAAAGCCATATCCTCCTCCAGAGGTTGTAAGCTTTCCAAGCTTTGCTCTGTGTCAGGTGTCTTGCTGTCCTCCCGAGATGCTCCACCACTCCAAAAAATGCCTGCATGAGAACAAGTTGACACAATCCCTAGACTCTCCATGTCCTCCACTGTGACTTCCTTTTGGTGACTGACTGACATCTCAGGAATCTCCCCAGAATTCTGTATCCCTTCTGAAGAAACTGAAGCCTGTAAATTATAGTAAATAAGTGTGAAAGAGTAGAATTACCTTGAACTTTGAAGTCAGAACTAGCCTTGAATCATAGATCCCTAGTTTGGTTTCCTTGGCCATAAAATAACTCTATTTCCAATAATAACACCTACTTAACAAAAATACTTAAGTATTAATTACTACATGTATGTATAGCACCTAACAGCATAGCAGAACACAAACAACAGGTATGTGATAAAAATATGAATCATATTTACTTTTACAAAAAAATTAAACTTTGATACTCTCACCATTTTCTCTGATGTAAGCTTTTCTGGACATACATAACATAGGCTGTTTGACTTTACATAAATTAAAACAAATTTATCAATTATCCTACAATCTGTGAAGCCTCTTTTAAATCCTTTTTTCATTCCTCACTAAACCATTATCTCATTGTGCTATGACCTGTAAACATCAGTGTGCCAGATAAACATGTCTTGTGATTGATTTCTGCCTATGATACTGGTTTTGGGGAGTTTAAACAGGACAGTAAGTTGTGGTAAAACAAAGCTGAAATGAACATGACATTAAAAAAAACAGTAAAAGATATTTGTAGGAGTGGGCTGCATAACTTTCCAGAATTTAGATATTGGACCCCTATATTTTCTTTTCTAATCCTCACCCAGGGACACATTTACTGATGAGAGAGAGAGAGATCAATCTGAGAGACAAACATCAATCGCCTCCTGTATGTGCCCTGACCGGGGATCAAACTCGAAAGCTAGGTATATGCCCTGACTGGGAATGGAACTTACAACCTTTTGGTACATGGGATGATGCTCCAACAAACGGCACCACCTGCCCAGGGCTGAATCCCTGTATTTAAATGTTTCTTCATTGTTCTGGGATAAAGACAACTATCCTTACTGAAGCCTACAAGGTCCTAATGTCTGACCTTAATATCTGACCCATGCTACCTCTTCATCCTCATCTACTACATCCCTGTTGCTTCCTCCAATTCACCAACCCTGGGCATCTTTCAGGACCTAGTAGGGATGTTGCTCCCTGCAGCCACAAGTTTTTTTGCACATTAATTTTGCACGGAAGGCTCTTCCACCCCTGGTTACCTAATTCACTCCTACGCATCTTACAAAGCTTCGCTCAATTCCCACTACATCAGGGAAGCCTTCTCCAAATTCCCTGACCAAGGTAGTAAGACACCTACCTTACTTTTATTTGCAGCAATAATCATTCCTGCAAGTTTACATGTAATTTTACATAACGTTATATACATTTTACGTACACTTTATTTTTTTAAAGATTTTATTTATTTTTTTAGAGAGAGGGGAAGGGAGGGGGAGAGAAAGGGAGAACATCAATGTGCAAGAGAAACTTCTATTGGTTGTCTCTTGCACACCCGCAACCAGGGACCTAGCATGCAACTCTGGCATGTGCCCTGACTGGGAATGGAATTGTGACCTCTCCAGTTCATAGGCTGATGTCCAACCCACTGAGCAGCCACACCAGCCAGGGCCACTTACACTTTATATGTAAGTTTTATTCACAACACTTACCATAGTTGAAAATTTACATTTATTTGTGTAATTATTTGCTTAATGTACCCCATCATGAAAACAGCATCATCTTCTACTAGGATGTTATTTTCATGATGACAAAATCCATATTTTTTAACCATTATATAGCCAACACATAGCACAGGGCCTAGCCCATATTAGATGCCTGAAAGTATTTATTGACTGATGAATAAATGACTAAGTGCAATGGAAATAGGAAGGAACAATATTTGGAAATCCTAATTAAACAGATTTTTTAAATGTTGTTTTCCAGAAACAAAGGGAAATAAAGTCCTCTTTTAAATACTGCTTCCAAAAATGAACAAAAAACTGGTCACACTTGCATATTAAACATAATAATCATAGCTTTTCTCATCAAACTTACAATAAGAAGATATTATTTATGCTATTCTTTGATTTTTTTCTACTTGCTCACACCAATTCTTAAAAAACTTTTTTGTTCAGAGCACATAAATTTTATATTGTTAGTATCTTTAGTGCTCTTAAGCTACTACATGCCCAGGTTTAATAAATCAAAAGACAAGTTAATGTTTTCACTTTGGTGAAAAAAATAATAATTTTTGCTTGTCAACATAAATACCATATGATAGAAAAATCTTAAAAATTCCTTGTCAAATAACTTAATACCTCTGTATTGCTTGCTCTTCACAACATTTTTCTTAATGTATACTGAGTTCTAGTCAACTTAATTTACCAAATACAGGAACTTATTCAAGGTACCATGTAGATGCTAAGGTGCATAAAAAAGTAGGACAGAGCCCTGATCCTCAAAGAAATTATCATTTGGTAGATCAAATCTCCTAGTATGAACTTGATTTTATTAGAAAAATTTATTTCTAAACTGATCAAGCTCTAGGAAGGCATTTTCCCCAGAGAAGGCATTTTCCCCAGAGAAGGCATTTTCCCCTGTGCTGATTAAATAATTTATCACTACTTGGAAAGGTCTCAGATTATAGAATTAAAAAACAAAACACAAAACACCCAAGCACATACAATGGGCTAAAGATAGTTTATTCAATAAATGGTGTTGGGGAAATTGGACAGGTATGTGCAGAAAAATTAAACTAGACCACCTTCTTACACCACACACAAGAATAAATTCAAAATGGATTAAAGAATTAAATGTTAGACTGGAAACCATAAAAATTATAGAAAACAGGGCAGAAAAATCTTGGACATTGCTCATAGCAATATTTTTTCAGATATTATCTCCCCAGGCAAGGGAAACAAAATTAAAAATAAACAACTAGGACTACTTCAAACTAAAAAGGTTTGGCACAGCAAGGGAAAACATCAACAAATAAAAAGACAACCCACAGAATGGGAGAATATATGCACTAATACATCTGATAAAAGGTTAATATCTGAAATTTATAAAGAACTTACAAAACTTAACACCAAAAAACCAAACACCCCAATTTAAAAAATGGGCAAAGGACCTGAATAGACACTTCTCCATAGAGGACATACAGATGGCCAATAGACGTATGAAAAGATGCTCAACATCACTAATCATCAGAGGAATGCAAATTAAAACCTCACACCTGTCATCTCACACCTGTCAGAATGGTCATCATCAATAAATCAACAAACAGTAATTGCTGGTGAGGATGTGGAGAAAGAGAAACTCTTTTGAACCAGATTGCAGACTGGTGCAACCACTGTGGAAAGCTGTACAGAGATACCTCAGAAAATTAAAGTAGATCTCCATTTGTATGCAGCAATCTCACTTCTGGGAATATATCCGAAGGAACCCAAAACATTAATGCAAAAGACCATAAGCACCCCTATGTTCATTGCAGTGTTATTTACAATCACCAAGATATGGAAGCAGCCCAAGTGTCCATCAGATGAGTGGATAAAACTACAGGACGTTAACACATGGAATACCACTCAGCTGTAAGAAAGAAAAGTTTACCCTTTGCAACAGTATGGATACACCTGCAGAACACTATGCTAAGTGAAATAAGCCAGTCAGAGAAAGACAAATACCATATGATTTCACTCACATGTGGAATCTAATAAACAAACTGAACAAGCAAAATAGAAACAGACTCATAAATAGAGAGCAGGATGGCAGCTAAGGAATGGGGGAGGTTGGGGTAGAGGGGTTGAGCAAAAACGAAAAAGGGCTCATGGACATGGACAGCAGTGTGGTGGTTGCAGGGGTGGCGTGGAGGAAGAGAGTATAAGGGGACTAAGTGGTAACGGAAAACATACAATAACATTTTTTAAAAAATACACTTTTGACATTTTACTCAAAAATAAAAATAAATCCTTCAATACTGTACAGGTTGTACTAACCATCAAAAATCTTACCTCCCCTGTTGTATGATAAGCTCTCAGACCATACTGGTTAAAGCTATTCTCTTTGTAAAATGGGTTTTCAACATCACTGTGTACACATTCTTTACACAAGAAGCTTTCAGGTTGACAAGGGTTGAGGGCAGAGTCCTGGGCAGAATTTTTAGCCAGTGACATGTCCGTGAATTTCAGTGTCTCCCTACTGCAGTGGATTACAGGTGGGCTTTTAGGAAGTTGCCTGACACATTCATCAGCAACTTGGTCTTCGTTTGTGGAAGTGCTAGTTTCCACTGAATTTTCTTCCTTAATTGAATCTTCCTTTATATTGTTGTCTTTTGCATAATTATATACATGACTTTGCATTTCTTCTGGCTTCTCTGTGTAAGGTATGCCACCTGTCATGTTTTGAAACATTATAATTTCATCATTAAATGCTTTCGTCTGATGAAATTTGAAAATTGGTTCACATTGTCTGAAGGAAGAAATGCTGGTGTCAATGGGCCCAGTTAGCATATCTTGTGAATAATTTTCATTGTTCACATCTCATTAGAAAGAGATAGAAGAAAATAAGAATTAGCTGACCATAAATTTATGTATTAAGTTATATTAACATTTATGAAATAAAATCTTTGAGCCTTTTAAGAATTATATATATTTCAACATTTTGCACTGAGTGGATTTTAGCATGGCTTTGTGCTAGCAAACAAAACAACTTTTTTACGTGGGAGAAAGAAGTTCTCATATGACTGTTTCAAAAGCTTGTTATATATTACTCTGGTTAAATACCAATACAACAAAGTCCAAGACATCTTCAAAATTATTTTGTTGCACTGTAATTTTAAAATGTTTTAATTACAAAATGTCTCAAAAGAATACAAAAGCAAAGTGAATAGTGTATAGCAAACATACATGTACTTGTTTAATCTCACAACAATCCCATGTTGGTTCTTTAATTATCTTTGTTTTACAGATAAGGAAACAGACATAAGAGATATTAAATCACTTGTCTAATATAACAAAGCTGGTAAGATTCTAGGATTCTAGTTCTAAATGGTATGGTATACACAGTTTCTCAATATGACAAATTACCCAGATTTAATAGATTTTTAAAAACCTATTTTTAAATAAGCAAATAAGGCAAAATAGAACTAGTATTGCAAAATTAATGATCTCTCCTTTCTACCTAAATTTCCTTTTTCCCTCCCTAGAGATAACCACTATTATTGAAATCAGTATTTATTCACTCTTCCCATCCATATTTTCTTTCACTAGTGACTTATGTACCCTAAATAATATATATCAAGTTCCCAGACTTTCTCATTCTGTGGCATCTTAAAAATCTCAGTAATTTTTTCACAGAACCCCTGTACCTAACAGTTCCATTTGTTAAGTAGTTAAGCTCAACCAACTTAACAAGTATTTGTCCTACCAACTTAAAAGCTGTTTTAAAATATACAGAAACTGAAAGAAAAATATTTATTTCATTCTTAAACAACCAAATTTATTACTTGATTGTACCTTTGGGCACCACACGTTTCAAAGTTTGGAATCAGATTGGAAAAGGCCAATCCTCACTACCCATTCCACCTTGATTTTCATGCAATACTTGCAACTTAATCACAGCAATCTCCAAAACTGCAGCTTTGCAAGTAAGATATTATAGAAAGGATTGTAGTGTGGTTTTACAGTCAAATCTCAGTTCTCGAACATCTCCCGTTTCGAACTATTTGGTTCTTAACCGAGTTGTTCATGGAAAAAAAATTCTCAGTTGTTGAATAAAACTTTCGTTCTCAACCCAGTAACACTTTCATGCTGACACCTGTATGATCAGTCACATGTATCTCAGAAGCGATTCAGTTTTCAAACAAATCACTTCTTGGATAGTCTTCTGGAACGAATTACGTTTGAAAACCAAGGTGCCACTGTATATTGAAATAATGAGCTATCTCATGCTAGTAATTTGTGGGACCCAACAGATGTCTAGTACCACTGTTTACTTCAAATTTCAAAATATCCTGCAGCACCCTGAGCAAACTGTGGTTACACAATATTGTTTTCTGTTTTAAAATTTGTAACTAGCATCATTATACATATACATATATATATACATGTATAACTTTATCTCCCTATTTAATCTACACAGAGAACATATACAAAAAATTGGGCTAGACTCAGAGGAAGGCAAAATATCAGTAACTTAAAATATGCAGAGACATCATCATACTGGCAGAATGCAGCAATTATTTGAAAAGACTTCTGACCAAAGTGAAAGAAGGAAATACCAAAGCAGGACTGCATTTGAACATTTAGAAGACAAATAGATAGCATGAAATAGGCAACTTTAACATAGACAATGAAGATAATGGAATTGTTAAACATTTTGCTTACTTTGGTTCAGTCATCAATTCAAATGAAGACTGCAGCCAAGAAATTAAAAAAAAAAAAGAAAGAAAGAAAAAAGCTGAGACTTGAAAGGCAGCAATGGAAGAATTAAGAAAGATCAATCACCAAGAGCAAATATGTGTTATTAGAGACCAAGGCTAAGATTATCCATACCATCTTATTCCCGATTACTATGTACAAATGTGAAAGCTAGACAGTGAAGGCTGATAGGAAAAAATTTCCTTCATTCAATATATGGTGTTGGAGGAGAGCTCTGTGGATACTCTGGACCACCAGAAAGGTGAGCAAATAGGTCGTAGAATATTTAGGTTTTAAACCTAAAACATCACTGGAGGCAAAAATTACAAAACTGAAGCTGTCCCATTTAGGGTACATCTTGAGAGACCAAGGTTCTTAGGAAAAGTTAATAATGATGGGAAAAATAGAAGGCAACAGGAAAAAAGAAAGACCAAAAATGAGATGGACTGACTTCATGAGCAGGGCTATTGAGGACAGGACATTATGGACATCACTCATTTATAGTGTTACCAGGAGCTGGAGTCAACTCAATGGTACATCATAACCATATACAGGGTCCAGCAGAAGTAAAGCCATTTTACTCTGGTAGGGTAGGGTGGGGTTGGTAGGGTACATGAGTGTCTCACATGAAATGGACAGCAATTTGAACATTTCACCTAAAATGTCATATGGTGTGCTTGAGTGTGATGTTGTTATGTTACAGAATTATGTGCTTATGATTTTGTAATAATAGATTTGAGATACCAACTCATTAAAAAGGGGGGTTATTTGTATCATGCCTTGTATAACCATATAAAACAGTTTTTATATCATTAAAATTTTGTTTTTCATACTTAGCCATGTAAATACATGTACATCTAGTTAATTACACAGAAGAATTATGCTTTATTTCCTTTTCTTGGGCCTATTTCTAATTTTGTTATTAAAAACAATACTCAGTGAACATCCTAATACACATTTTCTTGTATACTAATGTAAGAATTTTTGTCTAGACCCTGAGTATATACCTAGAAGTGGAATTGCTGGATTATAGAAAATACGTATCTTCAACTTTACTAGATACTGCAAAATTATTCTCCAAATTGGTTATACTTATACTTTTTCCAGTAGTATGAGTTCCTTCACTCTACATCCTTCCAATATGTCAAACTGGTATGTGTGAAATGGTATTTTGTGGTCTTTTAATGTACATCTTTTTAGGTATTTAATGGTCTTTCAGGTTTCCTTTTCTGTCATCTGCCGTTTAAATACTCTCAGGGACTGAAATGTTTCCTCAAAATTCACATGTTGAAGGCTTAATCCTCAGTACCTTAGAATGTTATTTATTTGGAGATAGGGCCTTTAAGAGGGTAATCAAGGATAGATGAGGTCATTACGGTGGGGCCCTGATACAAAATAACTGAGGTACTTGTAAGAAGAGACACCAGGGAGGCACAGAGAAAAGCCATGTGAGGACACAAGAAGATGGCCATCTGAAAGGCCTCAGGAGAAACCAACTCTGCAGGCACTTGATCTTGGATTTCCAGCCTCTAGAACTGTGAGAATATAAATTTGAATTGCTGAAGCCAGCCAGTCTGTGGTATTTTGTTATGGTAGCTGTAGCAAACTAATACAGATATGTTTCCTGTTTTTCTGTTGAGTTGTATGTACCTTTTTCTTATTGGAATTCTGTATCTTTGGATACTAATCCTTTGTCATTTGCATACATTACATGTACCTTAGATTGTGTGTGGCTTGCTTTTTTACTGTTGATTCTGGTTTGGAAACACAAATATTTTAAATTTTAATGTAGTTGAATGTGTTAATTATGGTTTGTATTTCTTGTGTTACTCCCAGGGTCTGTTCTCATCTTTAAAATAAAGATAAAAACAGCCCTTACTTATGAAGAGGAAAAAAATTTTTATTTCATGAGCTTGTTTATGGATTAAATGTGATAATGTACATAAAATGCTTAGCACAGTTCCTGGCCATTATTATTATCATCACAGGACACAAAAAGATCTTAGTTTCTGTTTGTATATTGCCAACAAAGAGATACTCACCACCTATCAAACCATCTAGTGTGCTATAAATTTCCTCAGAAAGTGTGAGTTTAGACTCATTTTCCCTTTTTAAAGTCTTTATTTCATTCTGTATTAATAATAAAAAAGGCATTAATATTAATACATCAAACATCATAAGTCTCTTCTAAAGGTATATGTACATTGCTATGTAATTTTGGTTAGAATTTTTTCTTGCTCAGGTAGAATGTGCTTTCTAGTATCTTTCCCCAGTGCATATCTGAGCTTTCTTTTAGTAAAATCGTGTTAATAAAGCCACAATATTAAATTAGAGAGTTAAAGGAGTATCTTGCTGTTTTAATACTTTGGTTTTTGGTAAGTCAAATCGTGTTCCTATAAACATATGGATATATGATAACCTATATATGTCTTGTTGATAATTCTTTGATGCTAGTTAAATCTGGTCTATTCAAGTTTTTAAACATTGGATATATAAAATAGGGACCTAGTACTGAGGTGAAATCTGAATCCAGTAAATAGAAATCTATAAAAATTTATGTAGGGCTTATTCTCAAAGTCACCTTAATGTTATCTAAGATGAAGTAGTTTAAGTAAATTAACAGTATAAATAAAATAGTAAGAAAAATATTTCAAATGTTTAAGGAAAACATTGGTTTAATCATGGACAGCATATCAAGTATGTGAACCTAAACGATACCCTATAAAAGTTCTTATCTCTTATTAAAGTCAGGTAGTTACAAATCTCTATTCAATATGCTTTTTATAGCATCGTTCCACTTTCTGAATATACCTCAGGTAAAATAAAAACTGAATTATATTTTATAACTGTTTTTTGGACTTGTTAATTCAGAACATTTCTCCTAATTAGATTTTTCCAGTATCAGGAATAATATATTTGAAAAATAAAATAGCACTACTCGCATGTATTAATGTTGTATTTACACAAACTTCTTGGGATTCCACTGCTCATTAAATTTCAGAGATCACTTCTAACTCTTGTCTTACATGATATTACTATTTTTAGCTAAAATAAGCTTTTTGTTTCTTTGGTCTATATACTTTCTATAAAGAATAAAAAGATCAATGAAATCCAAGAGGGAGGACCTCCTTACTTACATAATTTAAGACATTCATTTTTACAATTCAGTACATAGTAATAGTAACTTGGGCCCTGATTAATACCATAATATTATGACCAAATATTTTTCAAAATGAAAATAGACCAGATGTCAGGCTCCTTGTTTTCTTGTCCTCACTCTGTGACTAAGTTGTTGTGGCATGTCTTCTGGCTATACTCATGGGACTTCATGAAGAGGCTAGAAAGGATCAGTCTTAACAGTCTATTTGTAAATTTCCACCTTTCTTGCAACCCATCTCCACTATTTTTCTCGTCTATGCCTCCACTGGGGATTTCTTTATTGTTCCTCATATTTTTTAAGAAATTTTCATATAGAACACAATATGAATGCTAAATACATCTGTGTATACTAAGTGCCTCCCATTACTTATAAGCAATACACACCTGAGGCAAGACTGAAGTAGTACTGCTGGTTTCCATGTAGAAGGGAGAGTTTTCGTGAATTAATTCTTGAGAAAGACTGCTGATATTCATAGTATCTGCTTCTGATATGCTTCCTAATTTTTCATGAGAAGCAGCCACTTCAAAATATACAGGATCTGAAGGCAATGACCAAATTTTTTACTAGTTCTTAACAGTTGAATAATGGAAGGCTTCTTTAAAAAAAAAAAAACCATGTAATTTTAAAACATATGCAAACAAAATGCTTTTCCTCCCATCCCTCTTTACATTAAGAAAACAACAAAGTTCATTGCCCTAAATTTTAAAATGTCATTTGTCAAGTTATTGGAAAAAAAGAAAAATTTTGTCTGAATATACCATGTACTTTGTATGGTAGTAAATACTAATTTGGACTAAAGCAAATCAGTATGTGTGGTTACTATCCAAAAATTACCTAAAAGACTTGGGACCCAGAAGGTGAGGGGATCTTTAAGTTACTTAATGAAAAGATATTCACAAAATATTATCAGAGACCTATGAAGTTTCACCAAACACTTTATTTTTATTTACTTGATACTTGCATATTTCTTTATCAACTCAAATCCAACATTATAAATTAATTTTCCCTCACTTCCATATGCCACCCTTATTCTCTCAGGCACTTAGGATCTGAAAGCTTTGCATCCTTCTACCTCATTGTCCATGCGCTACTGTTCCCAAGTTCTGTCCATTTATCCTTTAAAAACGATTTTCATAAACCATGCTTTCTTTCCATTCCTTAGGTCATCACACTGGTCCACGTACTTGTGATTCCTCAGGTCTGTTAGGGGGTGGAGATGGAAAGGATGTCCAATCACAATGACTTCAAATTCTTCTGCTTGACTTTCTAGGTTTTACAAGGCCTGAACCCACTTTAGGTAGCCAGTATTCCTCTGCTCTGGTAAGGTCAGGCTCACTTCCTTGCAAGTATGTCATGCTTCTTCCCACTTCAATAGTCTGTCCTGACAAGTGCTTCTCTCTTCTAAAAACTTCCTATCTACCGATTCACCTATTTTTTAAAATTCCTGCAAGGTCTTTAGTCTAAACCTGTCTCTCAGTTCGGTACCTATTCATTTCACTATTTTAGTCTTAACCATTGTTTGATTAAATAGTTTCATTCACAGATTATACACACTTCTAGAGGAGTCCATTTACGTTATTGAACCCCCATTTACGAAGGGGTTCAATACCCCTTACAGCAAAACAAACAAAAAACCCTACCAGTGTTGGCCAAAGTAAATATTAATAAATGCTGCATTCCAATTATTTATTTCTATTAAACCTTCTCATCTACAGTCACTACCCATTTGCCTGAATTATTTTATTGAATTATCAAAAATTTATTAAGTTTCTTCAAACTCACGTCATCCTTTAGCCAAGTATAAAAAGCCACTGAGCCTAGCGGGCTAGACAGGATTGGTGAATGGTTCGACTTCATGCACAACTTTTTCCAAACACGTAAATGCTACCTAGGTTGTGGTGAAGCGGGTTTGAAAAATCCTTGTTTTGCTTTCCAAATGCGAAAAAACCGAGAAGGGCATTATTTCTTAAACTTGTGAACCTATAACTTCCAATAAAACTTTTACAACTTTGTTCGTATGGCACAATTTGCCAATTTATTGTAAGTTAGGCTTACTTTTTCCATCTTTCATTCTGACTTTACCAGATATATGTTAGACTTCTAAAACATTAATCGAATATTTCCATAGATATTCCAGAGATACTCAAAACTTGTTTTAAGATGGGCGTTGAAAGAAATGTCACTGGATCTCGCGGGAGGAGACGGAAGGGGCAGCCGGCCAGTGCTTCTGCGCTCGGCTTCAGCGTTCCGGCCCGGCACCCAGAGCGGCACTAGAGACCGCCCAGTGCGGGGTTGGGGTGGGGTGGGGTGGGGCAGGATCCGCACGAAATAAATCAAAGTGAGTTATGCAGGAAAAAAAGAGGTATCACTGGAGTTAGTGGTCAAAACTATAGGATTTTAAGTTCTTTTCAGCCGTATGACAAACTTTCTAAAAACAACTTATTTTCACCTCAAAACAATGCACTAAACACTTTAAATCGCAAACGCGTGCTCACTTCCAGAGTCCACGCCGTTTCTTGCATCCACAATAAGGATTTGGTGCTCCCACACCCCCGCACCGGGTTTTGCAGGAGGGAGAAAACTTCTCAAGCTTATCTAAGGAAGGCTGTTAAGTCGCAGTTGGGATGCGAGCGCGTCGGAACGTTCCTGTGATGTTCGCCCGCCCACCCGCCAGCGCCAGCGCCAGCCAATCTCGGGGGGAAACGGTGCACGCCACGCCTCCGCGCCCCGAGAGAGCGCTGGCTAGGGGGCTTCGAAGTTTGTCGGCGGCGTAGAGAATGATGGGTATGAGATCCCAAGCCGAAGAAACTGTGGGCTGGTGGGCGCGTCCTTCTACGGGAGGGACACACAAAGCAGGTTGCAGAAACTGAAAGCTCTGGGTGGTATGGTGGGCACAGGCTCAGCGAAGAAGGTGACTCAAGTTAGCCTGGCAGGTCGGTGTGCCCCTCTCGCTCACCGTCGGACGCAAGCTCCAGGGTCTGAGCCAAGGCAAAGCGGGACTTCCTGTCGACCAAGCCCCGGTGAGGGCGGGGCTTCCGGTAAAGCGGGATCCGCAGTACCGGGGCTGTCGGTTTTAATTCCTTAAAGCACGTGGCGCGCGCATTTGGCAAGGGGCCTTCAGAGCGGTTTGCGAGGCGGACATCCGTGGAGAGGTCGTGAAATTGAACACACTGTGTGTGGTTCCTGGCCCAGCTCAGGGTGAGCGTCTTCCGGTGGCGCTGAACCTCTGCGTGTTCCGTCATGGACTACCGGCGGCTGCTGATGAGTCGGGTGGTCCCCGGGCAGTTCGACGACGCGGACTCCTCCGACAGGTAGAGGCGATTAAGTACACCGACTCCTTTGGGATTTTGCTTTTCTGTCATTCCTCTCCCTTGGGGGCGTTAACACTGGTTTGGAGGGAGATTGGTAGTTCCTCACTGAGGAGCTCGCTTCACAGCCTTTTGCGTCTTTCTTCACCCCTGCCGTGACTTTCGTCCCAGTTTATGGTAGAGTTACTGAAAGCCGCTTATTAAAGAGGTCCAGGGTTTCCAGGTTGGTTAGCATCAGTGAGAGGCAAAGTTGGGATTAGCGATTGGGAAACGTAGGTTTTTGTGCTTTAACTACATTCAGCTTTCAGAGGTACGTGGGCACGTAATATGTACCAGGTTCTGTCCTTAACCTCTGGAGATAGTGATGAACAAGACAAATTAATTCCCTGTCATTGACTTTCTACCTTCTACTTGAGAGGGAGGGCAGAGTAGTACAGAGAAATATTGAAAAAACAAAGAACAATGATGTATGCTATGCAAATAATTTAAATCAGTCGATAGACCTAAGTTATTTGGTCAGGGAGGGGTTAAGCCCAGATCTGCACGACGAGAATGAGCTAGCCTCAAAAAGAGGCGAAAATAGCTATTCAGGAAGAGGGTACAGCAGGTGCAGAGTCCCCATGGTGGGATCCCTCCTGGCTGTGAAAGTAAAATCTAGTGAGCAATGTGCCTACAGCAGAGCAGAGGTAGTTGAGAAAATAGATGGACGGTAACGATATAGAAGTGAGAAGGGGCCAGCTCATGTAGAGTCTTAAAAGTGATGGTAAGGAGTTGAGATATCCTAGGTCCGAAAGAAAACCATAGGGGGATTTTAGCAGGGGAATGACATCATCTAATTTATGACTTAAAGGAATCACTCTGCTATGTAGGGGATTGTTTTGGAAGACAAAGTGGAAACAGTACAAAAATAATAAATTAATTCAGTTCATAGATGATGTACCTTAGAGATAAGGTCATAGGGGTATGTTCTGAAGGTAGGAGTGACACTGCGGTGGTAGATCAGGTGTGGGATATAAGGCAAAAGGAATTAAGGATAACTTTTACATAAAAGAAAAATGAAACAATTGTTTTAGAATTCCAAGAAAACATCTTTATGTTTACAGTAAGGTCTCATTGCATGTAAATTTTATCAATTGTAGGTTTTTCAGTATATGTTGATCGCTTTCCATATGTCAGATATAGAGTTGGTATGGATTCATTGGTAAACACCACTCTGACACAGAGCTTGCTTGCACTCTAGCAGGGAGAACATGTCAAATAATTAGACAAATGATTTGTATTAGAATTGGATAAGTAGTACAAAGGAGAAATGGGTGAAGAATAGGGAAGACTTACCTGAGCAAGTGCTAATAAGCTAATACTGGAAGGATAAGTAGGATTTAGCCCAAGAAATGAGGACATTCCAGATTTATGTTTACACATGAACATACGAAAGGCCTTAGGGAAGAAGTTAAGGGTAAAGAAACACGACTAGTGTGGCTGTTGAATAGTTAATGAGTGTACACTGGTTTACCATCCATCACTAGGTATTACAAAGATAAACCAACTGATTTTGCTTTCCCCGCCCCCCGACTTTAGGTATTTTCTGGAGACATTATTGTTTGTCACAACTAGGGATGGTGGTGCATTAGTGGCATCCAGTAGGTAGAGGCCATAGATACTGCTAAAAATCCTATGAGGCACAAGACAACCTCCCACAGCAAAGAATTGTCCAGCCGAGGTTGAGAAGCCCTAGTACTATTGAAGGTATAACCTTAACATGCCACTCTAGGTTATTGACAAATGAAGGATCAATTTATGGATTATGCTTATGAAATCCTAGTAAGTAGGTATTTAATGATTATTCCATGGAGATTTGGAGCCCTGTAAACCATAGCTAATTAAAAAGTCAAGATTGATCATCTGAATTTACTTAAACTCACAACTTAGTTTTTTAGCTGGTAGTGTGTATTATCAATTGTTTCACATGGTTTCTGTCCTTGTTCTCTACATGAGATGTTAAAGCTGGAAGTACCTCTGTTGAGCCTGATGAGCAGACATGTTTTGTTTGGGTATACGCAGTGTTTTGTTAAAACTGAATATGCCTATTAAGTGGGAGATTTTACACAAAAATCCATATCTCTGGCTTCTCTTGAAAAACTGAGAAGATACGATTAACACTGGGTCTAAATTCTTATGTGGCAAAAACACCTTGTGTTTTCTCTGCTTTGGGCTTGTCATCTGGGTTTGACAATCCCTTCGTCTGTTTAATTACATCCAACTTACTTTCTCATTTGTGGTGCTTGTATTCACTATTTCTTCCCTTCATGAACAAAGGCGATCTGAAGTTCTTTGTGTAACACAAATCTTGAATACAGATTCATTTGCTGTAAAGTGGTATTTAGTTCAAGGTAAACCTGCTTTAGGCTTATTCTCAAGTTTTGTCAGAAAGTTATTTATTTTTATTTATTTTATTTTTTTTTACCCACTCTTAAAGCAGTTCCGTAAGTAGTTTTCCTAGTCAGGTCTGGAGTACTGATCAGAGCCAGTTCATTCAACAGAGAAGATAGCAATATAAATTCTAACTTAAGGCAGAGATAGATATAACACCTGATATACTTCTTTAGTAGGACCTAGAGAATAAGCAAACAGCTGGAACAAAACTCTGAATAAACAAGAAAATATCGTATTAAGATTAACTTTACTAGCAGATACGTTGTAAGGGAACCTTTTGAATTTAATTTATTTTATTGTAAATAAATACAATAAATTGGATTTAACATGTGTATTATTTTGAAAAATAAATACAAATTAGATGTGTAAACATGATAAAACATTGTTATTTCTAGTGAAAATATTAACTTGAAGATAATGAAAGAAGAAGATAACTTTCTGTCTGAAGACTTTCAGAATAATGTAGAAGAAAAAATAGATGAAGGTGAGATAGAAGAGGAAGAGGAAGAGGAGGACTATGATGATGACGATGATTGGGACTGGGATGATGGAACTGGAAAACTCACCAAGGGTTATATCTTGAATGGAGGGAGTAACCCACAGGTACTATAAATGATTCTATACTTTATGTTGTTTGCTTATATCTTCTTATTTATTTTATTTTCTGAAGAGTCACAGTTCTTATTTTTATTGCATTTATTGGGGTGACATTGGTTAATAAAGTTATATAGGTTTCTTTTTTTAATTATATTTTACTGATTATGCTATTACAGTTGTACCAATTTTTCCCTTTGCCCTCCACCCTGTCCAGCATCCCTGACTCCCTCAAGCAATCCCCTCACTATTGTTCATATTCATGGAAAGTTATATAGGTTTTCAGGCATACAGTTGTATAATACATCATCTGTACATTGTACTCTGTGTTCACCACCCCAAGTCACATCTCCTTACATCACCACTTACCTCCCCTTTGTGTCTTCTACCTTCCCCACCCCTCTTTTCCTCTGGCAATCACCATTCTGTTATCTTTGTATATAACTTCTTTTTTTCTTTGCTTAATGCCTTCACCTGTTATCACCTAGCCCTGTAACCCCACTCCTTTCTGACAGTTGTCAGTCTGTTCTTTGTATTTATGAGTCTGTTAGTGAGTTTATTTTGTTCATTAGATTCTACATATGAGTGAAGTCATATGGTATTTGTCTTTCTTTGACTGGCTTATTTCACTTAGAATAATACTCTCCAGGTCCATCCATATAGTCACAAAAGGTAAGATTAAGATTTCCTTCTTTTTTACCGCCGAATGGTAATCCCTTGTGTTTTTTATGCACTCATCTACCGATGGGCACTTGGGCTGCTTCCAAATCTTGGTTATTGTAAATAATATTGCAGTGAACATAGGAGTGCATTTATTCTTTCAAATTCATGTTACAGTTTCATTCAGATATATTTCCAGAAGTGGAATGATTGGGTCGTAAGACAATTTCATTTTTAATTTTTTGAGGAACCTCCACACTGTTTTTCCCCAGTGGCTGTGCCGGTCTGCATTTCCACCAGCAGTGCGTGAGGATTCCCTTTTCTCCACATCCTTGCCAACACTTTTTGTTTGTTGGTTTATTGATGATGGCCATTCTTACAGGTTTGAGATGATATCTCATTGTGGTTTTAATTTGCACTTCTCTGACGATTAGTGGCATTGAGCATCCTTTCCTATGTCTACTGGCATCTATATGTCCTTTTTGGAAAAGTGTCTATTCAGGTCCTCTGCCTATTTTTAACTGTATAGTTTGTGTTTTTGATGTTGAGCTTTTTATTTATAAAGTTTGGATATTAGCCCCTGATAGATGGTTTTCTTTGCTGTGCAAAACCTTTTTAGTTTGGTGTATTCCCAAGTGTTTATTTTTTCTTTTGTTTCCCTTGCCCAAGGAGATTACTAGAAAAAATATTGTTGCTAGGAGAAATGGGAGTGAATTTATTGCGTATTTTTTTTAAGACTTATGATTTCAAGTCTTACATTTAAGTCTATCCATTATGATATTATTTGTGTATATGGTGTATTTTTTTGCACATATTGGTCTAATTTTCCCAGCACCATTTATTGAATAGACTGTCTTTACCCCATTGTATGTTCTTGTCTACTTTGTCAAATATTAATTGACCATAAAGGTGTGGATTTATTTCTGAGCTCTCTATTATAGGGGTCCCCAACCCCTGGGCCACTGCGGTCTGTGGCCCATTAGGAACGAGGCCGCACAGCAGGTGGCAAACAGCAGGCAGGTGAGTGAAACTTCATTACCACATTACCGCCTGAGCTCCACCTCCTCTCCCCACCCCCGCCCATGGAAGAATTGAAAATTGTCTTCCATGAAACTGGTCCCTGGTGCCAAAAAGGTTGGGGACCACTGCTGTATTCTGTTCTGTTGATCTATGCATCTGTTTTTAGGCCATTTTCATGCTGTTTTGATTCTTTTGATTACTATGGCCTTGTATATAGTTTGATAACAGGTAGCTTGATTCCTCCAACTTTGTTCTTCTTTCTCAAGATGGCTATTGCTATTTGGGCTCTTTCATGGCTTCATATAAATTTTTGGAATGTTTGTCCTAGTTCTGTGAAATATGCCATTAGTATCTTCATAGGAATTGTGTTGAATCTGTTGATTGCTTTGGGTAGTAGGGACATTTTAATGTTAATTCTTCCTATGTGTGAACACAGTAAATGGTTTCACTTATTTATCTTTTCAATCTCTTTCTTCAGTGTCTTATAACTTTCCAAGTACAGGTCTTCTACTTCCTTAATTAAATTTATTCCAAGGTATTTTATTTGATTTTTTTGATGCAGTTGTAAATGAGATTGTTTTCTTAGTTTCCCTTTCTGAGAGTTCATTATTGGTATATGAAAATGCAACTAATTTCTAGATATTTATTTTGTATGCTGCTCTTTACTGAATTTATGTATCAGCTCTTGTAGATTTTTGGTGGAATCTCTAGGGTTCTTTACATACGTTATCATGTCATCTGCAAATAATTACAGTTTTACTTCTTCTTTTCCAATTTGGATACCTTTTGTTTCTTTTTCTTGTCTGATTGCTGTGACTTGGACTTCCAGTACTGTGTTAAATAAGAGTGGCGGAAGCAAACATTCCTGTCTTGTTCCCAAATGAGCTACCCAGCCAGGGTTGATTTCCATCCTTTTATATTTATTGAGACTTGTTTTGTGTCCTGACATGGTTTATCCTAGAAAATGTTCCATGTGCCCTTGAGAAGAACGTATATTCTACTGCTTTGGGGTTGAAATGCTTTGAATATATCAATTAAATCCATCTGATCTTGTGTGTCATTTAAGGCCACCATTTCCTTGTTGATTTTCTGTCTGGAAGATCTGTCCATTGATGTCAATGGGATGTTAAAATCCTGTACTATGACTGTATTACTGTTGATCTCTCTCTTTATATATCCATCAAGAATTGCTTTATATGTTTAGGTGCTCCTTTGTTGAGTGTACAAATGTTACCAAAGGTTATATCCTCTTGTTCAGTTGTTCCCTTCATCGTTATGTAGTATCTTACTTTGTCTCTTACTCTATAGCCTTTGCCTTAAAGTTTATTTTGCCATAAATAAGTATTGCTACCCCAGCTTTTTTTTTTTTTTTAATTTCCATTTGCATGATATATCTTTCTTTATCTCTTCACTTTTAGTCTATATATATCTTTCCTATGAAGGCTGGTCTCTTGTAGTCAGTATGTATATGGATCTTGTTTTCTTATTGATTCTCCCTGTGTCTTTTGATTGGAGCATTTAAGCCATTTACATTTCAAGTGATTATTGACAGGTACGTATTTATTGCCATTTTATTCTTTTAAATGTGTTCCTTTGTTTTTTTTTTTCTTCTTCACCCTGCAGAGGTCACAGTCAATAAAGTTACAGTGTAGGTTACGTGTATCCAAGAGATAAATTCATTACTAGTAGTGCTGAATGCGAAAAATGATTTAAAAAACTGCAAATTTGCATTTATTGTATTAAATATATAAGATAAAATAGATGGCTAAACTAATGGAAGTTGACACAAAATATGTGGCTTTTTTCTAGTTTGTCTTCCATTGGATTTTTTCTCCATTTTGATTCTTTATCCTTTCTAGAAAAACCACTCTTCATTCATGTCTAATTCATCTTCACTAGAAATATCTTACTTGGTATCCACCTCTTCTGAACGATCTTCTGCATAATCTTTATCTTCTAAATCACTTACATTTTCACATTTGACTCTATCATTATCTTAATAGGACTTGAGTAGCATTTTCTGAAGTTCTTCAACATCTCTTAGATTATTGAGTTAATATATTTTTCCAGCCATTTTCAATGGTAAATGAAAAAAACCCACAAAACTGACTGCACAGAGTTCGCAGTATCTCTCAGATACAGTTTACTATAGGATATCACACAAACTTATGAAACACGTGTTATAACCAAACTGACGGATTAAATGTTGTGGCTTAACGTTAGTCATGTACAAATGTGCAGATAATCATGATCTTGCACCAATGCACCTGATATTTGTAAGAGTATTTAAGAAAAGAGTTTGTGTCTCTCAGATTAGCTGTAATCTCCACAGGGTTAAATAAGACCCTTTAATACTGGTTCTTGTAATACTTGTTTGGTAGTAGCAAACTCCTGTAAGCTGCTGCTTGGCTGGGGAGCTCTTTATTTCTCCTTCAACTGTAAATGACAGTCTTACTGGGTAAAGTAATCTTTGTTGTAGATCCTTTCTTTTTTTTGAGAAATCAGCTGACAGTTATGGAAGCTTCCCTGTAGGTAGGTAATTACTTTTCTCTTGTTGCTTTTAAGATTCTCTCTTTATCTTTAATCTTTTCCACTTTATGAGGTGTCTTGGTGTGGGTCTGTCTGGGTTCTTCTTGTTTTCATTCTGCGCTTCCTGTACTTGTGTGTCTTTCCTTCACCAGATTAGGGGAATTTTCATTCAATATTTCTTTAAATAGAATCCTTTTCTCTTTCTCTTCTTCTTCTGATACCTTTATGATGTAGATGTTGTTACACTTCACATTGTCTCAAAGGTCACTTAAACTATACTCATTTAAAAAAAATTTTTTTTTCTTGCTGCTCTGATTGGGTGTTTTCTGTGCCCTTCCACATCACTGATTTGATCCTCTGGTTCATCTAACCTATTGCTGATTTCCTTCTAGTGCATTCTTCATTTCGGATATTGTATTTCTGACTGACTGATTACTTTTTATGGTTTCTGTGTCCTTCTTCATGACTTTGTAGTTCTCACTAAATTCCTTGAACATCTGTATAACCATAACTTTGAGTTCTATATCTGATAAATTGCTTGGGTCCATTTCTTGTAGCCCCTTTTCTGGAGATTTTTCCTGTTCTTTCATTTGGAGCTTGTTTGTTATCACTTGTTTGTTTCACTGCTTCTTTGTGTTTTTTCCTATGTATTTGGTAGATCTGCTGTGACTCCCAGTCTTGTATTGTGGCCTTATGTAGTAGGTTTTCTGTGGGATCCAGTGATAGTCTTCTTGAACACCTGAGCTGGATCCTCCTGGAATGTCTCTTGTTTGTTTGTGTTTTATGGGTCCTCCTCTTGTAACTGAGTCTTGATTGCTATTGGCCCATGCATGTGTGGGGTCAACCCTCAGGCTGGCTGGCTGTGAGGATCAACTCCAACCATAGTATATGAGCTGCTGTGCACAAAGCAGCATTTGCCTCAGCAGGGTCTGGTGCCTACCGAGATTTCCCTTTGGATATGCTGCTTGTGCAGCTAATTGGATCCTACTCTGATGTTGTCTGAAGCAGGCCACTATGTGTGTTGGTTCTGGGGCCTCTTGGGAGGGGCTCTGGTGCAGACCAATGTAAGGCTGGCTGTGCTTGACCCTGTGCAACCTACTTGGAGTTAGAAGGTGATCCATAGTTTGTGGCTTTCTCTGCTGGGCCTGGGTGTGCATGGGAAGGAACACGCTGTGCACCAAGGCTGGCTTTTACCAGCACTGGGCCCAGGGACAGTTCAGCAAAAGTCCCAAAGTACCCTGAGATTTACTTCCTGTCACTGCCTGCCAGTTGCTTGTTAGGCTCAGTCACTGAAAGAGCCTCTGGCATGAGGTAGGTTCTCAGTGAATCATCAAGTAGGGGAGAGCAGTTTTCACAGTGTTGATACAAGTTCAAACTCACTGCCAGTACTGGGTCTGAGGCCACTCAGGATATGGCCCTGGGTATACCAAGTCTAGCTGCCATCCACTGGGTGCTGCCGTACCTTTGTGGTGGGGCAGGGTATCAGGGAGTCATCAGGGTAAGGCCAGCAGAGTTTATCAGGCCCAAATAGACCAAGATTTGTACATGTGAAAGGAGCGCTCTGCGTTGGTTGGTCATTGTGAGCGAAAAGTGGCTCTTGTCCTAGAGCCGCACAATTCAGTCTGACCCACGTTCTGCCAGGAGCCTGATCTCAGAGGGTAGGGCTGCTGGGATTCAGGAGAATGTGGCTAGGGGGTCTTTCATGAAGGGGAGGAACCACTAAGAAAAGAACCCAGACTTTTCTTCATGAAAGAAAAGTCAGGGGGAATGGCCTCCATCTCAAAGCCACACAACTCGGTTGCTGATACACCCTGAGTTTGCCCAGACCTCTACACCCTGGCCCTGGCAACTGACTCCTCAGCAGGGCACAACCTCTGTTGGGTGTGGTGAGAAGGAAGCCAGAATGTGAGGCTATTGCATTCCCCCAGGCTGATACCGTATGAATGGAAATGCAAGAAAAATGTTCTCTGCAGTGTGGGAGACAGACTTAGTACAGGGATCCTGGTGGCTGTCTGTTCATCTCTGTCCCCAAAACTGTAAACCCCAGTTTCTCTTCACACGACTCTAGTCCACTCTGCCCTTCGTTCATAGGAACCAGGGTTAGTGCTGCAAACAAGATTTTGTGCACTGGCCCTTTAAGAAGCCACCTGTATCTTTAGCAGACCTCTGCCTTTCTGTGGCAACAGAATCCTTGCTGATTTTCACAGCCAGATTTGACGTGGCTGCCTCTTTCTGGCTCTGGTGCTCTGGGCTAGGGAGCCTGGCTTGGGTGTGAGACCCCATGTTTCTCAGGGAGAAACCCTTTTGCAACTGAGATATCCCTCTAGAATCTCAGCAGCCACCTGTGGGAGTAGAGCTGGCTCTTTTTTGCATTTCTGCCCTTTCTATCAGTCTTGCTGTGGCTGCTTCTGTGAATCTTTGATTATAAGACTGCTCTTCAGCTGGTCTTCTGCTGGTTGTTTAGGTTGCTTGCTCTATATTTTAGTTGTAATTCCAGTTTTTGTCCTGGTAGGAGGTGAGTATAACAGCCTCGTAATCCCTGCCATCTTGGATGTCTCTGTGTCTTCTTTTAAAATATTTTATTTTATTTATTTTTAGAGAGAGGGAAGGGAATGAGAAAGAGAAGGAGAGACACATGGATGTGTGAGAGAAACATCAATCAGTTGCCTCTCTCATACGCCCTGACCAGGGACCAGGCTGTAATTCAGGCATCTGCTCTGACCAGGAATCGAACTGGTGGCCTTGCTTTGAGGAACAACGCTTAACCAACTGAGCCATGCTGGTCAGGGCATGTCTTTTTTTAAAAAAGGACTTCTAGTGATTCTGGAATTAACCGAAAGATTTTCTTTAGGTTATGTTGCTTTATAGCCACAGCCTTTACTGATTTTTATTCTTCACCCTTTCCATGTGTCTGATAATGTCACAGAAATGGATCCCTTCCATAAACTATAAATTTAAAAAGTTATTTAAATTGTCATAAGAGAATGAGCTTAAAAATCTGCGCAAGAAAGGACACGAATAGTCAGCTTTCTACTATTGGTTAAGTAACATGTAGAAAAGATTCAGTTTCACTAGTAATTAAAGAAATGCAGATTAAATATGTAGAGATCCCTTTTTTAAAATCTATTGAGACTGACAAAGACACAAAATATATAATTGATGGTCTAGTAAATAAGTACAATTATTTGGAGGATAAACTGGTATTTATAAAAGCTTATAACCACTCAGCAATTCTTCTAGGAGTGTACCAAGATTTAGTTACAAAATGATCCCCCAGTATTGTTTCTAGTAGAGGAACCTTGAAAACAACCTTGCCCTGGCTACGTAGCTCATTTGGTTTGAGCATTGTCCTGTACTCCAAAAAAGGTAGGTTCAAATCCGAGTCAGGGCACATACCTAGGTTGTGAGTTTGATCCCCATTTGGGGTGTGTGCAGGAGGCAAATGATTTATGTTTGTCTCTCACGTCAGTGTCTGTCTCTCTTCCCCCACGCCCTTCCTTCCTTTCTCTCTAAAATCAATAAAAACATCCTTGGGTGAGGATTAAATAAAAGAAAAGGGGGGAAAAAAGAAAACAACTTTGATTAAATTTGCTGTGGGGCTGGTTCACATAATGGCACATTATGCAGCCAATAAAATGTTACAATAGAAAACTGTATTCATGACATGGAGCTATGTTCGTGATTTACCACCTTCTGCCATGTTCAAAACACAACTTAAAGTTACAAGATACCAAGCCATGTAGAGCTTCCTTCTCATACTGGAAGTACCAAGTGTCAGGAGTTTGCAGAACCATGGGTTTAACGTAGTACATCTTACTGGAGCATAAATGTTCCTGAAAAGGAGGAAGGGAGAAAATAAAAAATATTTCTTTGAAAATTAAAACGGCTATATTGTGGACTAGAATGCATGAATTTTTAAAATCAAAGAAATTTCACACTTGTAGTCTTATTATGGCAACTCTTTCATTGATTCATGGGTGAGATGTTTAGCAACTTCAAAAGAGTGTGATTTCTTTTAATAAAACTAGGGGGGAAAGTATGTGCTTAAATGTTAACAATTATCTTGGTTGGGGCACTGGGATTATAGGTGATCAGAATTTTACCTGAGTTTTCTACTGTGAACTTTTATTATTTTAATTTAAAATTTATCTTAAAAGTTATGCAAACAAGAAACAACGCAGCCTTCAAATTCTAGGCTTCAGTAGCAAGATTGAATCAGTAATTCTTATAGGTCCTTTTTATCTATACTCTCTTCTCTTATTTATGTGTTCTGGATGTTACCTCCTCTTTCTTCTCTTTTTGCCATTATTGAAGTTTGTATATAGCACCAGTCTAAGTGCTAACCCTCATTCTTAATGTTTTCTTTTTTTGCGATACTAGGCCCAAAATGAAGTACTTAGAACCAGTTTATTATTGGTTCTGGGTCGTTATTTTTGGCATGAACATATTCAAATTTTAGATTTACAAACCAAATTAGAAAAATTCATTACATTTTTATTTATTTATAATAATGAGGACTCCGTTGTAAAGATATTTTTTAAAAAACCACCCAGATTATGCAGACTCTTTGTTTTAGCCAGTAACTTTCACTTTGTATTTCAAATGCCTTTTTAAAAAATTGAGTAAATTTGATTGATTCTTACCTTTCCTTAGGGTACCTCTAAGTATTGATGCTTTAATAGTTAACAATGAACCAAGGGGAAAAAACATGTGATGATGAATCTTAGGTTTGTATGTATAACTAGTGCCTTAAATTCTGGAACTCATTTCTTCTAGGCAAATCGACAGCCTTCGAACTATAATTTGGCCAAAATGTCTACTCCAGCAGACAAGGTTTTACGGAAATACGAGAATAAAATCAATCTAGGTGAGTTTGTAAAATACATTTCCTCATTAGGCCATGAGAAGATTCTTCAAAAGCACATGAAGTATTATAAAATTTTATTGGATCAAGAAAAGTGTATATTTAGTGTTACTGAATAATGCTTAGAAAAAATAAAAGCTTAGTAATATAAAAACATTGCTTCATGAGAAAGACTTTAGCTTATGCTTTTTTATTTCTATTTTCTTGCCTGTTGTACAAATATGAGGTAACAAATTATCTGTTTTATATTAGGTTTTATAGTCGGATTATGTAATGTTAGAATGCTGAAAATATTAAGACACTGAATATAATTACATTTTCTTTACCGGAGACATATTATGTAGGCATTAACCATTTAGTGAGCTGCTGTTGAATGTAAGAAATCAGAATGTTTTGAGCTACCACTTCTTGTAAAATGCATGGTCATCTTTTTCTTGTAGACATTGACTTGCTATTAACATAGCACAGCATCTCATAACCTGTCATTGCCTGTCATGGACCTATAATTTGAAATGAAAAGTTCTTAGAATTAAACTTAGAATCCACGCAGTTACATTGTCTATATTAGTTGTACCAAATATTAAATGTCTGAAATTCAGCAGATGCAGATACAGTTGTTTTGAGGGTTTTCTGTATCTAGATTTCTGTGGCTCACAAATTACAGCTATAGTGACGAAAGTGACACTTGTTATTATGGGAACATGACTTAGTACTGCTTACCTTTAAAAACATTAAAAATGTTTTTCATTATTAAATATTTTCTGTATGTAATAAAATATTTAGGAAATAGAGAAGAGGGGAGAAGTATTTGATTCACAAAGACTATTAAAGTCTTTCTAACCTACATGTTGTTTACATTTTTTTCTCTTTTTAGATAAGCTAAATGTTACTGATTCTGTCATAAATAAAGTCGCCGAAAAGTCAAGACAAAAGGAAGCAGATATGTAAGTAATATTTTAACTATAAAAACATGATTGATAGGGACTAATTCTAGACAAGTTAAGTGGTGTATTGATCTTAATTCTTTTGCAAAAGATTTTTTTTGGGGGGTTGGGTTTTTTTGTATACTTAAATGAGAGTATCTTATGCCTTTGTAGGTTGAAAATATTAAACGAGTCTTTAGAAATATATGGTAAACCTGTAATATTGTGAAATTTATAAATGTGCTCTTAAGATAATGTTTGTAAATTTCTATATAAATGTTAAAGTTCTAAAAGATTAAAATATTAACATAAAATTGCACCCTTTTTAGGATTTATTAGAAGTTATTTCCCTCCATTTTTTTTTTTAATTAAGAGAAGATTTAAAACTGAATACTGATATAATTGAAAACATTGCATTTACACTTCTGTTCTCAAAACCAGTTGTTTTAAGATCTGGCTAATTTCTATGTGCTGTTAACTCTAAGACATTAACAATATATAGAAAGTGACACTAAGGTCATACAGTTAGTAGTGTTAGGACTGAACTTAAAAACCAGTTTTCCTCTGACTAAAAACCAGTTTTTTTATATGTTCAAGAGAGAATAACGTTTTGAAAAACACCCTGGTCATTTGTTATTTCATTGATGTGTCTAGATCTTTGTGTTTGAATCTTTGTTAGTTTAGGTTAGTGTGCTAATTGAGTCATTTAGTGTGTGAGCTGAAGCTAATCAGAGTTTGTGTTTTAGCACAGAACTCGGTAACTGTCTTCAAATGATGTCTTGATTTATGTCTGAAGAAAAGGGCTCTAATGAGAATGCCTCGTGAATTGACTTTAATGCTGTAGTAATAGAATCATTAAAGTTTTGAAGGACAGTATAGACTTAGTCTTTTCTTTTTTATAGCATAGCTCACTTTACCTCACCTATTCTTTTTATTTAATGCTTATAAAATATGAATAGAAATCTGTTCCTTTATTTTATTTTTTAAATTTATAAATCATGTTTATTCTATTACAGTTGTCTCAATTTTTACCCATTTATCCCCCTCCACTCATCCCACCCCCCACCCCCTGCTCCCAGAGTCAGTTCCCACTTTGTTGTCCATGTCCATGGGTCATTCATACGTGTTCTTTGTCTAGTACCTTCTTCTTTCCACCGTTGTCCTCTTTCCCCATCCCTCTGGTCACTTTGGGTTTGCTCCATGTCTCCATGCCTGTGGTTTATTTTGTTCATTAGTTTATTTTGTTGAATAGATTCCACTTATAGGTGAGATCATACAGTATTTGTCTTTCATCAACTGGCTTATTTCACTTAGCTTAATATTCTCCACTTCCATCCATGTTTTTGCAAAAGGTAGGAGTTCCATCTCTCTCTTTCTTTCTTTCTTAAATGCAGATTGATTTTATTTATTTTTTTCAATGTCAAAGTTAATTATAAAATATTTTAAAAATGTAAAACCATTATAAAGTCTCAGCAATTAAACCAACATGACACCAGGACAGAAGTAGTCAAGTAGATCAGTGAAATATAATGAGCAATCTAGAGACAAACGTATGTATCTGTCTGACAATGTAATGTATGATTAAGTTGATATTTCAAGTCAATGGGTAAAATAAGGCTTATTCAACAAATAAGGTGCATGGTCCATTATTACGTGAAATAAAACAAATGTAGAACCCTATTTCACACATTATACGAGAAATATTCAGGTGAGTTAAAAATCAATATCTAGCATCTAAGGAGTTTTAGAAGAAAATAGAACTAATAATTTTCATGACCTGAAGTAAAATATTCAAACCCAGAAGCTATAAAGTAAACATTAACAATATGACTATATTAAACATTTAACTATATAGTAATATACATATAAAAAAATTAAAGGACAAGGAATAGAAAAGTATTTGCAACACATCTAAATCATGAGTAATAGGTTTTTTTGGTTTTTTTTTTTTTTTTTTTTTTAGGGGAAAAAGTTCTACAAACCTTTAATCAATAAATGGATAAAGAATACCAAAAAGTCATTTAAAGCTTTTTTTTTTTAAATAATAGAAATAGGCAAGAAATATACTAAAACAGGTTTAGTTTCAACAAATAGTAAAGGAACAATTAAAATAACATCATTGTCACAATCAGATTAATGAGTATTAAAAATATTGGTAATATCAAGTATTGGCAACTCTGAAAGAAACTGGATATTCATAGAAACTTTTTCTTCATCTTAAAGCAGTCCCTTTAGCATATTTTGCAGTGCTGGTTTGGTGGGGGTGTATTCTTTCAGCCTTCTTTTGTCTGGGAAACTCCTTATTTTGCCTTCCATTTTAAATGAGAGCCTTGCTGGGTAGAGCAGTCTTGGCTGCAGGCCTTTGCTTTTCATGACTTCGAATATTTCTTGCCATTCCCTTCTGGCTTACAGTGTTTCTGTTGAGAAGTCAGATGCTAGCCGTATTGGGGCTCCCTTATATGTTACTACCTCTTTCTCCCTTGCTTGCTGTAGGATTCTCTGTCTTTGATATTTGCCATTTTTATGATGATGTATCTTGGAGTGGGTGTCATTGGGTTCCTCTTGAATGGGACCCTCTGTGCTTCCTGGACTTGTGTGACTTTTTCTCTCCTCCAGTGAGGGAAGTTTTCCATCATGATTTTTCAAACAGGTTCTCTATCCCTTCCTCATCCTCTTCTCCTTCTGGTATCAGTATTGCACGGATATTATTATGTTTTAGGTTGTCCTGCATTTCCCTCAATGCCTCTTCATTCTTTTTGAGTCTTTTTTCATTTTCTTGCTTTTTCTGGGAGCTTTTTTCTACCTTGTCCTCCAGCTCACTGGTTCAGTCCTCAGCCTCATCTAGCCTGCTTTTGATTCCTTCTACTGTGTTCTGCAATTCTGAGGTTGTATTCTTCATTTCCTCTTGTCTCTTGTTGATAGTTTCTGTGTTCTTTTTCATGGTGACATAGTTTGCAGTAAGTTCCTCATAGTTTCCCTGTAGTTTTTGGTAATTCCCTCTGAGCTGACTAGAACCGTTGTTTGAAACTCTGTACCTTGATAGTTTAGTTCTCTCTGTGGGAATTCTCCCTTTCCCTTTGAGTGGGGGGTATTTCTTTGTCTTCCCATTATTTGTGAGACTCTTCTCTTTTGCTTCTGATTCTTAAGTTGATCTGTCTTGATTTCCTGACTTTGTGGTGTGAACTTCTATGGTAGGAGATCACTGTTTTTACTTTCTGAATCTGCCTCTGATGATGTCAGATATCGTCCCTGTCTGACCTTAGGCAGTCTGTTGAGACTTCCAGTAATCTACTGTTTGTGGCTTTCTCCTTCAGCTGTTAATCTAATGAATGGAATTTTTTTTATTGTGGATATGCTCCTTTTGCCCTGGGGAACTGAATTCTAATTGAGGGGAAATGAAAGAAGTTTCACTGAGAGATGAAACTACGAGATCATGAAATCTGTTTTTAAAGAAACTATTTACTGAGGAATTTCATGGAATGCTGTATATGTAGAAACTTTATTTTCTCTTCTCTGACTGAATTTTGAATGTCACCTATACTTTTTTGTTTTTGGTTAGGTATCGCATCAAAGATAAGGCAGACAGAGCAACTGTAGAACAGGTACAGTTTAAATGTTACAAGTTCTTATTTTAAAGTAACATTTCTTTTCTCTTTGAATTGTAGTTTACTTTTATCCTTCTTGCTTAATGCTAATGTTACCTAAAATTACTCCTGTATAAAATTAGTCCTTATAGTTGTGAGTTAAGAAATGTACATTTTGCTTTATTTATAATAGAACTGTTAGTAGACAAATTGGAGTCATGCCTCACTGTGGCCTTATGAAGCTATGATGCAATGTATTCATCTTCTAAGGGAGACCAGGCTTGACTGTAAGACTAGATATCTTTTGTTTTAAACAAGGTCTGCAGGAATTTTCAGAAGATAGGTCAGGTATTTTCCACAAAGTAGATGTGTGGTAGTGTGTGTGAAAGAGAGAGAGAAAGACACTCTCTCTCTCTTTCTCTCTCTCTCTCTCTCTCTCTCTCTGCCATAAAATTTTCAGTTAGAAATCCCATGCTTGGTTTAAAAATTACCAGTGTATGCTTGTTTGGTTCCTTCTGTTCGAGAATGAGGGGGAAGTTGGCCTTTAGTTTTCCCACATGTAGCGGGTTGAGATTGGATGTTAACATTGACCCAGATTCTTGATGTGAACAAAGTGATAAAAAGCATCAGAACATTGCTCCTGCAACCTACCACCCACTTTCCACCCACACACATATGCAGAAACACATTTTGGAATAGTGGCCTCTTTGACCTGCAGATCCTTAGTTTAAGATATAAGCACCCCTTCTACTATTTACCTCAATCCCCAAAGTAGTAACACGCAGCCTGTGCTCTAGAACCGTTTGTGTAATTAAAGAATTTCACATTCAGTCAGACAGGAACAGATCTGGGATATGTGTCCTTGTTGTCCTCTAATTTGCTTATTTTCTGTGATTTTTTTGTGTGTGATTGAAAACAAAGGGTGGTCCAGCTCAGAGAGATGAGAAAGCTTTAATTTTCGAAGACTTTAAAATAACTCAGGCAGAAAACACTTTATTTTTCTCTTTTGAAATTAATTTTGAATAACAGTATATATTTTGAGTCTTAAGCTGTCTTTATAAAACATGTATTTGTAAGTTTACTCTCATACTTCTCTTTCCCTATTTTGTTTTTAAGCTGTTTTCCTGTATTCCTCCTTTCTGTTCCCCCAACTTGGCTACCTACTAGTTTTGCAGAAGCCCAGGTCTCTATCTAGATTCCTATGCTCAACCAGCTTACACCCCTGCTATTTACCTGTGCAGTAGAGAAGAAATATTAGTTATTGCCTGTTCATGTACTTTTCTTCCAGTTGCCACTGTTTGTAGTTTGGGTTTTAGTCCTGCAGTTTTTTAAGGTTATTTTGTTTGTATAAGCCTTAGGTTTCAGGTATGACCACAGCCACCTCATTGAAGAATAGACTCTGGAGCAGTCATTTTCATCTCATGGCACACATAAACTAACCACTGAAAGTCTGCAGCACACCAGAACATATGCGGGGGTTGGCAACAGTACATTTACAGTTATTCATATGAAAAAAGACATTCAGGACATTCAGGTTATGATTATTACAATAGGTTTATTAACTCAAAAGAATGTCCCAATGCACCCTGACTTACGTGGCTCAGTTAGCTGGGCATCATCTCACAAAGCGAAAGATCATCGGTTGGATTCCTGGTCAGGGCACATACTTGGGTTGTGGGTTCAGTTCGATTGGGGCTAGGACACGCAACTGAGTGATATTTCTCTCTCTCTCTCTCTCTCTCTCTCTCTCTCTCTGTCTCTCTCTTTCTACCTCCTATCCCCTCTTTCTAAAATTAAATAAAGTCTTAAAAAAAAAAAAGTCACAGTGCAACTGTAAACATACTTTTCCCTATCCCTGTATTGTGTTTTTTGCTGATCTGACAAAAAACAGGTATAATTTTGATTCATTCATACCAGGCGGCTATTACTGTGTTGGCTGTTGTCATTTTTTAAATTGACAATCTAATGGAAAAGAGGTCAGTGTCACCGATTATGTAGTCAGGTATTGCATGTTTTAAAAATTCTAGTGGCACACTGGTTGAGAAGTTGCTGTTCTAGAGTATAATTACTCTATTATGGTCATTTAGCCATTTGACACTGGCTCATTTTATGGAACTAGAGGGGCTGCCTGAGCCATAAAGAGCTAACACAGGTATCCCTTGAAATTGCATGTATATATGTGGCTGCTTCATTTTCAGACATGGACAGGAACAGACTTTAACTCATTGCCTTCTGTTTGTTAAAGAGAACTTTAGATCTTTTTTATTCAGAGTTGATTGCTCTGACTTTGAAGGGAAGACCCTTTCCCTTATTTACTCATCTATAGCAAGGGGCTGCAAAACTCTTTTAAAGAGCTAAAGAATAAATACTTTAAGCATTGTGGCTCACAATTTTTTAAAATTCTTTTTTTATTGAAGATTTTGTTATTTATTTTTTAGAGAGAGGGGAAAGGAAGGAGAAAGAGAAGGAGAGAAACATTGATGGGAGAGGGAAACATCTGTCGGTTGCCTCTCATATGTGTCCTGACTGGAATCGAACCTGCAGCGCAGGCATGTGCCCTGACTGGGAGTTAAACTGCGACCTTTCATTTTGTAGGATGATGCCCAACCAACCTGAGCCACAGTGGTCAAGGCACAATTTTTTTTTTAACAACTATTTTAAAATGTAAAAAACCATTCTTAGCTTGCAGGCTGTAGAAAAACAAACTGCAGCCTGGATATGACTCATGAGCTGTAGGACGCTGACCCCTGATTCAAATAGAGTAGCCACTGAGCACTCGAAATGTGGCTGATCTGAACTGAGATGTGCTATAAACGTAAATACACACCATATCTTGAGGATAGTAAAAAACAGAATGTTAAATCTCTCACTAATAACTTTTTTTTTATATCGATTACGTGTTGAAAATATAGTGTTTTAGATGTATTGGAATAAATACAATATATTAAAACTAATTTTACCTGTTATCTTTTACATCTTTTAATGTGGTGACTAGACAAATGTAAAATTGCTTATGTAGTTTACATTATATTTCTGTTAGTGAATGCTAGTCTAGAGTCAGCTACTGTCTCTTTTGGACTTGGTAGCCTTTTAATTTCCATGATTAAATGAACTTGTTGGTTTATTATCTTTCTGGTTCCTTTGGCCTTCACCTCCCATTCTCTTTACTAAAAATTAGATTAAATAAAAACATGGTAATAGCAATTCTCTTTTAGCTAACCAGGATTTTGTGGTACAGTTAAGCTCTTCAGTTTATTAAGTGTCAAATTCTTCAATGAGAAATATTTGGTACTAGGTTTCTGAACTTTCTATTTTTGCATGTCTTTTTAGGTGTTGGATCCCAGAACACGAATGATATTATTCAAGATGTTGACAAGAGGAATCATATCAGAGATAAATGGCTGTATTAGCACAGGAAAAGAAGTGAGCTTTTCTTTGGATGCCTGTGTTTTGATGTTATTTTTCTTATTTCAGAAACAATGAAACTAAGGTACTTTGAAATAAATGTGCCTTTAAAAGGAAAAATTATATACAAGTCAGGATAGTTTAATTAGTGTTTCTAAAAATGGCTTTATTAATATTTATGGCCAGGTAGGAAGTTGTGCACAAAATGGTGCCTTTTCACTGCCATCACTTTACCATATTGTTGAGTCCAACTAGTTGTGCTCCGCAGTAAGCCTAATGGTCAGGTTACTGTAGGCTGAGTCCTAATCAGATAGTTAATAATAGGGGTGGGGTTTATGGTCTAGTTTCTGTGAGTCAGCTAATGTCACTTTCATTTTTTTATGTATGGATATGCAGAAAGATTAACGTGGTGTTTTTAAATTAGTAACTCATTCTATGGGAAGCAGTTCCCAGTAAAATTCAATTTATGAATCATGAGATGTAAGAATGTCTTTTTTTTTTTTTTTTAAGATTTCATTTATTTATTTTTAGAGAGAGGGGAAGAGAGGGAGAATGAGAGGGAGAGAAACATCAGTGTGTAGTTGCCTCTTTGTGCCCCCTACTGGCAACCCAGCCATGTTTCCTGACTAGAAATTGACCCGGCCACCCTCTGGTTTGCAGGCTGGCACTTAATCCACTGAGCCGCACCAGCCAGGACAAGAATGTCTTCAAATATTTTTCACTTGCCTGAAATATAGGAATGTTTGAAACCACGTTTCACATGTATTTAAGTTGGAATTTACTACATAAGTAATTTGGAGCTATATTTACTGTATCTTTTAATTCACATATTTAAAAGATGTTGGTGTTCCTTATCCTGTCATTTCAGTTCACTTGACTTTTAACTTGAGGGTAGAATCAAATAGATTGAAAAAGTAAAATACTGTCTGTACTTATTTAGCACAAACTTAATTTTCTTTGGTTTTGACTTAAAATAGGCTAATGTATACCATGCTAACACAACAAATGGAGAGAGCAGAGCAATTAAAATTTATAAAACTTCCATTTTGGTGTTCAAAGATCGGGATAAGTATGTAAGCGGAGAATTCAGGTAAGTTTAGATTTTTCCAATTGGCTTAATTTCTGTATCCTAAAAAATAAAAACTAGGACGGAATAATTCAAATAAATATTTTTCTTGTTCAAGGTTCCGTCATGGCTATTGTAAAGGAAACCCCAGAAAAATGGTGAAAACTTGGGCAGAAAAAGAAATGAGGAACTTGATCAGGTGAATGTCTGGGGTGTGTCTCTGCAGTGCCCTGTGCTTTTGGCTTCAGCTCTTTCCTACCAGCAGATGCCAGGGTGGTTCTGTCCAAAGACAGGGACACAGTGGGGCTGTTCAGTTCTGTTAGATCTGCTGAGGTAAGCCAAAACACATTTCTGGACAAGGAGGAGCCGCCTTATCTTACCTGTTTTAAGAACCCATTATTCACATTTACACAGCAAGGCTGGATCATTTAAAGAGCCTTAGAAGCCGTGTAAAAACGTTTAGAATTTATACTGAGGATAATAAGGAGCTAGCTGTTACAGGATTTTAAGCCAGGGAAGTGACTTACTCATGTGGAAAAAATGGTGCATCATTTTTAAATGGGTATTAGAGTTCTGTTAGGTTCAAAACTTTTTATCAGTTTCCTCTTCTTCTTTCAGTCCAGTTTTGGACACATTTCTATATTCTTTGAACTGACACCTTCTTATGTGCCGTACCTAGGTGACACACTGGCTATTTTAGTATTAAGCAGGTACTAATGCTTGTTTTGAGAGCCCTTCTGAAATTTGCATGTGTTTAGTTAGCAATTAGGTATGAGCCCAACTAATCATTGTTTTTACTAATCATTGTTCAGGCTGATGAACTCAAAAGATCATTGCAGACATATCTGCTGTATTTCATCAACTCTTAAGGCTCATATTTTTCGCACAGTTCAACATCTCTGGAATTGGATTGGGTGTTCAAGGCTTTGGGATGTGGTTGAATTGCCAGTGTTGTTCTTGGTGGTACATGATGGTGTGAGTTAAAATCACTGGCATCTTAATAGTTTTTGAAATACAGTAATACAGTTGAGAGGCCCTGGTGTCATTTTTTAACAGCAGTATTAATCTTGTGTACTGTAGCTGTTGTAATTTGTTTTAGATGCTGTTTCGCCTTTTCATTTGTTCTTTTATCTGTTTTAATATCACAGGCTAAATACAGCAGGAATCCCATGCCCAGAACCAATTCTGCTAAGAAGTCATGTTCTTGTAATGGGTTTCATTGGTAAAGATGACATGTGAGTATGTAGAAGGCCTAATAATTACATGCTTAGAATTATATTTTTAAGTGCTTTGAATTACCCAATATATGAGTATTTTCTGTTTAAATAGCTTGTTTCATCTTAGAATATTTTTTATGACTTCCCCACTGTATTAGTATGTAGAGTTACTAATTTATTCTACTGCCCTGACAATGGATGTGGCTTAGTTGGTTGGGAGTCATCCTGCAAAGCAAAAGGTCGCAAGTTCGATTCCCAGTCAGAGGGCATGCCTGGGTTGCGGCCTGGATTCCTGTGGGGGTGCATGCGAGAGGCGATTGATGTATCTCACATTGATGTTTCTCTCCCTCTCTTCCCCCCTGTCTAGAATGTAAAAATAAAATCTTTTAAAAAATGTATTCTACCTATTTAAGATTCAAAATGCTTCAGAATAACAAAGATCACTGTTTTTTGAGGAATATTTTGTACAGTAAGCTGGGAAAGCACCTGTTTGTTGACAGCTTTTTGGAATGGTACATCTGTAGTGAATCAGATCATTCAGTGATGAATTGTGGGAGAGAAGTGTCTGTAGTGTAAAGCAAGAAAACTTGTCTCGGTCAGTTTATCTTCACTATTCATTTTATTCTTATTAAAGACCAGCACCACTCTTGAAAAATATCCAGTTATCAGAATCCAAGGCTCGGGAGTTGTACCTACAGGTCATCCAATACATGAGAATCATGTATCAAGATGCCAGACTTGTCCACGCAGATCTCAGTGAATTTAACATGCTGTGAGTATGTTTTGTCCCATAGGAACCTCCCATCAGTCGTTTCATGTCCTTTAAAAAATAAACAAAATCCCAATCTAAGATATCATACTAAATTCAGAAGTTGCCACGTGGTCACAGTATAGGATGTGTTGCCTGCCTTTGGTGACCTCAGACATTGAATTGAGCCCTCACGTTACCATAGGGGAATGTGCACCTCACTGATGTTTCTCACAGTCCCTGCCTGTCTGGCCCCCAGGTACAGTGGTGGCGGTGTGTACATCATTGACGTTTCTCAGTCTGTGGAACATGACCACCCACATGCTTTGGAGTTCCTAAGAAAAGATTGTGCCAATGTCAATGGTGAGTGAAAATTGTAATTTTTTACAGCTTATTTACGTGTATTAGTTCTTTATACTCTGTTAAGCTGGTGATACAAAATGTTGGCACTAAATTGTTTGATGCAGTGATACTTATACCATTAGCTGGCAGATGGTATGTTTTCATTTCTTTGTTTCTCTGTAAAGTTGTTGGAATAATAACCTTTTCCCCTCTAAAGCTATCATTAACATTTTCCTTCGGACAGACTTCTTTTTGAAGCACAATGTTGCAGTGATGACTGTGCGGGAGCTTTTTGAATTTGTCACAGACCCATCAATTACACAGGAGAACATGGACGCTTATCTCTCAAAGGTGAGATGGGGCAAAGAAGGGAAAAAAAACAAAACAAAACAAACAAAACAGAACAGAAAATAGCAGTAGGAAGTTGCATTTAGGTGGCACTTATGAGAACCCAAATTGCTCAGCATAATTTTTGTTCATTTGACAGATTCCTGAGATCTTTTCCTTTGATTTCATAGATGGAGAATCAAAAGTATAGTAAAAAGCCAATGGTAGAGCCAGGTTTCTTGTCTTTAATCATTAGGCAGGATTCCATAGACTGTCAAAATTACAAGAATTTAATAAAACACTTGTTGTTGGCATTTGGCTGTTTGTTTCTTTCCCTTGTTTCTCAGAGGCCTTCCTAAATCACAGTTTTTAAAAAGGTAAAATATACAATGTATAAAATATACCATTTTAACTATTTTTAAGTGTACAGTTCAGTGGAATTAAGTACATTCACATTATTGTGCAACTTTCGCCATGATTCATCCACAAAACTTTTTTGTCTTGTGAAACAAACTCTGTACTCATTAAACACTAACTTCCCATTTCTCCCTTCTCCCAGCCCATTCTACTTTCTGTTTGTGATGCTGACTACTCATATAAGTGGAATCATACACCATTAGTTTTTTTCAGCTGACTTATTTCACTTGGCATAATATCCTGAAAGTTCATTCATGGTGTAGGATGTGTCACAATTCCCTTTTGAAGACTGAGCAATAATTCCATTGTATATACATACCACATTTGTTTAGCTATCTATGAGCACCTTGGTTGCTCCCACCCTTTGGCTGTTGTTGAATAATGCTGCTGTGAACATGGATACACAAATATCTCTTCAAGACAGTGCTTCCAGTTCTTTTGATGTACGCCCCAAAATGAAATTATTGGCCCTGGCCAATGTGGCTTGGTTGATTTGAGCATCGTCTTATGCACAGAAAGGTTGCAGATTTGATCTCCGGTCAGGGCACACGCCTAATTTGTGGGTTTAGTCCCCAGGTGGGGCACATACAGAAGGCAGCCAGTTCATGTTTCTCTTTCACATTAATGTTTCTTTCTCTCTCAAAAAAAAAAAAAATTGGTAAATGTATCCTCATGCGAGGATTTAAAAAAAAAAAAAGTGGACTGACTGACTAGATCATATGGAATTCTACTTTTAATTTTTTGAAGAACACCCATGCTGTTTTTCTAAGTGACTGCACCATTTTACATTTCCATCAACAATGTGCAGGGGTTTCGATTACGTTTTATTTTTGTGGGGTTTTGGCTTTTTTTGAGTAGCTGCCCTGATGGGTATGAGGTGGTGTCAGGTAGTTTTGATGTGCATTTCTCAAATGATGTTCAACATCTTTTCATATGCTTCTTGGTCATTTGTATATCTCTTTTGGAGACATGTCTATTTAAGTCTCCATTTTTTAATCAGATTTTTTTTTTTTTAGTTAAAAGGAATTCTTTATATATTCTGAATATCAATACCATATGATTTACACATATTTTCTCCCATTCCAATAGTCTGCCTTTTTACTCTGTTGATTGCACCCTTTGATGCACAAAGTTTTAATTTTGATGTCCAGGTTTTCTATTTTTCTTGTTACTTCTTAATTGTAGAATACATTTGTGGCATATATGCCCCTACATAGGTTTCCAGGTTTTATTCATATCTTTTCATATTTTTTTTTCCCTTGGAATGCCTTCCCATTTCTACCTTTGCCCATCTTGCTTTGTCAAATGAACTTTAAAGCTCAGTTCAGAAAGTTTTCTTGAGAAATCAGGTGGAAATAACTTTTCAAAGGCTGAACAAGTCATCCCTCAGTATCCAAGGGGGATTGGTTCCAGGACCCTTCTAGCAGTTGCCAAAATCCAAGGATGCTCAAGTCCCTTATATAAAGTGGTGTAGAATTTGCATATAACCTACACATAGCCACCTGTATACTCTAAATCATGTCTAGATTCTTATAATTCCTAATATAATGTAAATGCTGTGTCAACAGTTGTTATACTGTATTACTTAGGAAATAATGACAAGAAAAAGTCTGTGCATGTTCAGTACAGATGCAACCATTATAGGCCTAAATACAATGTACATGTCAGCAACACTCTAAACACTCTTTTTGGATATTTTCAATCCAAAATTAGTTGAATCTGGAGTCGCAGAACCCACAGATACAAATATACAGACACAAATACAGTTATACAGATATGGAGGGCCAACTGCAATATGTAGCCATAATAGAAGTAGTCACCCTGTATCACTTCATATATAAAGTATTTTTTTTTTCAATTTTGTCACTTTTTACTAGACTACTAACTCTTAAAAGATAGGAGTTTTATTCTTGTATTCCCTGTGCCTAATTAGTACCTGGCAATGATACGTAATTACATGTTAATTGAATGAATAAATATCAAATGATTTTTACTCCTTAACTCTTTAACACTAATTCTAGTGTCTGACCTTAAAACAAAAAGCTACCTAGTTCATTATTCTTTCTTTCTTTCCATATATTCTAAATAGAGTAGAGAACAAAGCTTCACTTTTACAGTTTGTAAGCCAAAAGAATCCTGCAGAATCTTTGTCACATTTTTAGTGTCAGTCATTGTTCAGATTGCTTCTTTTGGTGAGTTATGCTGCAGCAGCATAAAAGCCACATACTCCAATTAGAGGACAATCCACTTTCCCTTTCATTCCCTTCACTGACTGCTCAAGAGTTAAGGAATGGTTCTTTCATTCTTTAGGTCTTGGTTTTCCTTTGGTAAATATTTTTGCTAGTTATGTAAAAATTAATAAAAGAATTCTTTTGAGGAAGGAATTAGGGACTCCCTGAAGCTAGCCGAGTATGATGTATTCTGTTACTTTTGGGTTGGTGGCAATCTTTCTGGTGAGGTCTAACATGGAGAGTTAACCTGGCCTTTAGAGTACACCAAGTCCTTTATCTTGTGAAGAGGTGATACCAAGAAAGATTAGAACAGATTTATGCTAAAGTTGGGAAATGGATGTATCTTCTGTGGGTTGAATGTGAAGGAAAGTAATTTATTTTTCCCCCCGAGGCCATGGAAATAGCATCCCAAAGGACCAAGGAAGAAAGGTCCAGCCAAGATCATGTAGATGAAGAGGTAAGAGCTATCATCTGTTCACAGCCTTAGGAAGCACTTGTGCTTTGAGGTCTTTTTAAAAATATTGGGAAGGCCCCTGACTGGTGTGGGTCAGTTGTTTGGGTGTCGTCCCACAAAACAAAAGGTCACCGGTTCGCTTCCTGGTCAGAGCACATGCCTAGGTTGCAGGTTTGGTCCTTGGTTGGGACATATGTGTGAGGCAACCAGTCGATATTTTTCTCTCACATCAATGTTTCTCTCACTCCCTTCCCCTCTAATAAATATTTTTTTAAAATATTGGTAAGGCATGAACTTACCTTTAATAAATAAGCATTTTTTTTAAATGGTGATATTTCCTTGAGATGTAATATGTTACTTACCATTACATTATTCCACTCAGCAACCCCTTAGCCCATTGTCCTAGATGGAAAACATTTTAAAGAATCTACTTGAGTATATGACTCAAGAAGGAAAAATCTGTTTCAATTTTCAAATGTGGATTTTTAAATGATTTAAATGTTGATTGCAGTAGCATTGTAGATTTTAAATATTTATGTTTGGTAAAAAGAAATACTATTTTAATTTGGGGAGTCAGTGTATTTTTTGTGAGGCGAATGTGATAACCACTACACTACGGAAACTCGCCAGTGTATTTTTTTGTGAAGGTAGTCTATAGTAGGCTTTTATTTTACTTTATCTTACTTTTTAATTCTCATAGCTATTAGTGTGCTGGATAAATATAAGGTACTCTATTTATCAGCAGTTCTGAGCTTTTTTTCACGGTAGAAGAGTGGGTGATGTTCCTGTGTTAGAAGGCACAGCCAGGCAATTACGTTCCTTTCCCTGCCACTCAGAAAAAAAATTTGTAATGCAAACAGGGAGAGTGAAGTGCCAGGCTAAGGGTAACCTTAAATCATAGTTAGTCTTTTATCATTGGTAACAAATTACTTTTGGCACAGCACACAGCACATGCAACACCGGCCTGTGCAGACAGCCTGGCTGAGAATTAGTGTTGGAGATGATGGTAGATTTTTTTTTTTTTTAATGACTTGATAGAGGTGAGGTGACTGAGTGAAAGTAAGAAATATATGACTAACAGTTTCAATTATACTTTTCCTCTGTTAGGTGTTTAAGCGAGCATATATTCCTAGAACCTTGAATGAAGTAAAAAATTATGAGAGGGATATGGAAATAATGATGAAATTGAAAGAAGAGGACATGGCCATGAATGCCCAACAAGACAATGTGAGTAGCTGGGTTTATATGTATCTGCTGTCCTAGACCTGTAGTCTTGAATGTTGGCCTCTAAGCTAGGGAGGTGGCTAATTAATTACCTTTGCTTTAACATGTCCTTTATGCACGTTGGATGTAGAAAAGATTCATTGGTATTTATGAAGGAAATGCATAAATTTGACATTTGAATGAGTCTAAGATTGTAATTGCAGAAAAGGAAAAGTTGTATAAAAGTCTAGGATATAAATGGATATTATACTGGATCCATTAATATATATGTTTAGGGGTCTGGAAAACTTTTTCTGTTCGAGGGCCAGATAGTAAATATTTTAAGTTTTGCAGGCCAAGAAGCAAAATTGAGGCTTAGATTTTGTAGGTCATTATAAAAAGAGAAAAATTTTCCACAAATTTTTATTGATGAAATCAAAAACACTTCAATAATAATTGATTACAGCTTTTTATGATACAGGTCTACTAAATGAGAGAAGAATGGAGTTATTTTGGGGAGGAAAATACTTTTGATTTCATTGCGATTCAAAAAAAAAAGTTAGATTTTTTCATCACCAAATTTATTGAAAATGTTCATCAGTAGAAACCATCAGTCTGTTGGTGGGATTTGGCCTGTGGGCTGGAATCTGCTGTTATCTGTATGCCTGGCGGACAAGAATAACACCCGTGATATATACTATTACCTGTGTTACTCTGAGATGTTTTAGGTACCTTTTTAATAATCCCTCAAAATATCATTTAGCCCACAGTTTTCTTTCTTAATATTGGAGTGTGTTATTTTGTTGTCTAGCTTTATGTTAATTTTTGTTTTTTCTTTGTGGTTACAAGATTCTATACCAAACTGTCACAGGATTGAAGAAAGATCTGTCAGGCGTTCAAAAGGTATAAAGAGTGTGTTGCTATTTATTTATGTGAAAACTCTTTTAAAGGGTATACAATTTAATGTAAAGCATTATTAGAATTAAATTAACAGTGATACAGTTCTTAGAATATATACTTTCAAAGTCTGTGACATTTTCAGAAATGCCAGAGTTTAATTTTCAGAGTTTAACAGTCTTAAAGTGCTGGATTCCTGTAGTGTTACTTTTCTTAAAACAATCTTATTTTATTTTACATTTTAGAATGGCAGGGATTAATTCTAGTTTAAGCAATTATAAAGTTCTTATTTCTTTTAATGTTTTTAAGTAAAGGCTTAAACATGAAGGATCTCAGTTTGCTCTTTGGAAATTTACTTTGTCTTCTTTGGGAAGAATTGCCTTTTAAAAGTTTGGGTTTTTCCTTATAAAAAGAAAATCTCTTTTGAAAAAAGTGCTTCCTGCTGCTTTAAAAACTGCTAAGCTTCAGGGAAAATGAAAATTTCTTTTGCTTAAATATCATCTTTCCTCTTGATCAAATTAAAAATAATTGTTGCTTGAAAGTTGATTCATAGGAAAACAGCTATAAAGTTATCCAAATAAGGAGTTTTTACTTCTGTCTGTATTTCACAGTTGTGACCACATTGCAGTGTTTCACTCAACAGCAGGCCGCATATATGATTGTGGTCCCTCCCATAAGAGTATAATGGAGCTGGAAAATTCCTATCACCTAGTGATGTAACAGCATCATAGTACAACACATTACTCACGTATTTGTGGTGATGCTGGTGTAAACGGACCTGTGCTAACAGTTGTAAAAAAGTACAGCACGTGCAGGTACAGCAGTAGGCTCTACAGTGTTTGCACAATGACAAAACCACCTAACTGCGTTTCTCAGAACCTGCCCCCATCGTTATGCAGCACGTGGCTGTACTTCCAAATCCCAACATAGTCCTCCTTTTCTGGAGAACAGTTTTGTTGCTCTGGGTCATCCAGTAAACTCCCAGCTTCCTTTGGGTATGGTCTTGAGCCTTCCTGGAATGGCTACGTCTAGGCTTCCCCCCAATACTGATTCTGTTATTTTGATGTTTTAGTACAGACTTTAGCTTTTCAAAGTGTATCTGGAAGGCCAAAATCTGAATTCTGGCATTAACACATTTAGTAACAATAGATAACTGATTGCTTTAGAATAACATGGTTCTTTAATATTTTCAAGGTGCCTGCACTCCTAGAAAATCAGGCTAATGAAAAGAATTGTTCTGATTCGGAAGACGCTAGAAGCTCTGAGTGTTCTGACGCAGATTCTGAAGAGGAGGGAGACTGTGCCTGCTCCAGGAAACCCACTACTGACCTTGAAGTTGATAAAAAGGTTAGCCAAGAATAAAAATCCCTGTTCTTTACCATGGCGGCATAGCCACTCTCGTTTCTCTTTGTTCAAGTATCTGATTATGGTGGCCGAAAACACTATAGATCAGTAAATACCTCTAATTGTAGTTTCAGTTCCTAAGCATGAACTTTATTTTTGGTGGTAACGTTATCTAGGGGATTGGGTTTCTGATGGGAGCTCCTTGGGCACTGCCCGGGGCCGGGGGCGGGGGGAGGCGGGCAGCGCTCATTAAATTCAGAACATTGATTAAAAATGATTGTCATTCACTTGAAGTATAAATGACGTTGCAGTTGCCTCATGTGAAATACTGAACAGCCATTTCAGGGAGGGATTTACAACTCAGAGTTTCCAGATTCTAAAAGATTATTTCTTCCACTCCTAGCCTTACAGAAGAGACACTAGTGGTTGAATGGTACATTACAGCCTTGTTAACTATTACTCTTTATTCTTACCTTGATCTTTTAAATTTTATAAAGTTTGGGGCTTAAGACTTCTGAAAGACATACCCAACATGCTGTTACTACATTTTTCTCTCTTTGTGTGCTAGAAATAAATATTTTTTCTCTTTCCAACTTTTATTTCTGTTAGAATGTGAAACTTGTAAAGAAAAGTAATTGCAAACATTTAATAACATTCTCATGGATATTTCTGTTTGGCTGTCTTCAGATTTCTATTAGGATACCTTTAAGACAATTTTATCCCAGTCCTGACTGGGTAGCTCCATTGCTAAGAGCATTGTCCCGATATGCCAAAGTTGCAGGTTCAATCCATAGTCAGGGCACATGCAACAAACAAGCAATGAATGCATAAATAAGTGGAACAACAAATTGATGTTTCTCTCTCTCTCTCTCTCTCTCTCTCTCTCTCTCTCTCTCTCTCTCTGCCTCCCTCTCCCCTTCCCCCTCTTTAAAAGCAATACATTTTTTAAAAGATTTAGAAAAAGACATTTTCATCCCAAATTCTACCACCAAGCCATAATCATTTTTATTTTTTAACTTTTTTTTATTCTTTTACATATATCTTTTTATTTAATTGTAGCAATATGAATAGTCCAAATGAATGGAATTTTCCTATAAAAAGAAAACCTCATCTTTTAAAATAGTGCTTCTTGCTGCTTTAAAAACTGCTAAACATTGGAGGGGAAAATGAAAATTTATTTTGTTTAAATACCATATTTCCTCTTGATTGAATTACTAGTATTGCTTTGAAATTTGATTCATAGGAGAATGGCTGTGAAATTATTCAAATAAGTCTTTATTTTTTACTTCTGTTTTTCACAGATTTTGTTTTTGTTTTTGTTTTACAGGAAAGAAAAAAGATGGTCAAGGAAGCCCAGAGAGAGAAAAGAAAAAACAAAATTCCTAAACATGTGAAAAAAAGAAAGGAGAAGACAGCCAAGACAAAAAAGGGCAAATAGAATCAGAACTATATTATGCACAGTACTTTGCCATACGTTGCTTTTCTTCCCTGCACTTTTAAGCTGCATCTATAAGATGGGATATTGATTTTAACCACATGGTTATTATGGCAGTGTCTGTGGAGAATGATTTGGGTGTTCTCATGCAATTATGTAAAAAAGCTCTAAGCTCTGTTGTCTAGATCCAGTCATTGGCTCTACCTGGTATTGACAGAGAATTTATTTAAGCTATTTTGATGAAGAACTTTGTACAATATTATTTTTATATATTTTTTCTCCTCCAAAATGTTTTTTGAAGGATCATAAATATTTAAATGTAATGAATGTCCACTACTTTTATGTATGTGTAAAGGCACTTTGGACAAATTTGGTCCAGCTGTTTTGCTTTGTTTGCACATGCTAAAAGACCCATCTGAAATCATATGATTAAAACCATGGTTTCTTTAAAAGAGAGTTTCATTTAGAGATAATTCATCTGGCTGTTGTAATCATTCACTGCAGTTTTGTTCTGTGTGCATTGGTGATCATTTATAATGTACTCTTCATCTTTAATATTTTTTTGAGCTAGACCTCCCAGTTTATAAGCTATTTCATGTTCACCTATTTGGCAGGTTCATTCATTCATCATATATTGATGAACTGAGGTGCTGGGGATACAGCAGTAAATAAAACAGACAAAATTGCTACCTTTGGGTAGTATACATTTTAATAGGAAGATGACATTAAACAAAATAAATAAAAACAGTGTATCAGTAGTTGGGAGAGAAATACTCCAGAAAAGAGAGAATGCCTGGGGAGAAGTAAATTTGCCCTTTTAGAATAGGCCACACTGAGAGGCTGTATTTGAACACATACTTGAGGATTAATCATGTGCATATCAGAAGAAAAGAGGATTCCAGGCAAAGCAAACAGCAAATCCAAAGGCTCTGAGGCAGAAGTATGCCTGCAACGTTCCAGAAAGGAGGCTGGAGCTTCATAACCAAGGGAGAAAATAGTAGATGAAATCAGATGATGTTAGGCTATTGGAGGGTTCTGAGCAGAGGAATGATAGGATTTGACTTCTGTTTTGAAAGATCACTGTCACTCTGGCCTTTGGAGGATTAAGGAAAGGAGTGTAGGAGACCAGGTAGGTATTAGGAACCCATGTGAGATGATGATGATGATGATGATGATTACGAAGATGATGATGACGAAAACAACGATGACGACTTGCTCTAGGAGAGTAGCAGGGGACATGGATGGAAGTGGTTGGATTCTCGATAGAACACAAAAGCAGGATGAACTAGATGTGCTAGTGAATATATGAGGAGCATGGAGAAAGAATGAAGGACGATGTCAGGAATTACGGCTAGCAACTGAGAGAGGACTGGAATTGCCACTTACTGTGTTGGAAAGGAACGTGGGTGGAGTAGGGTTGGGTGAAAAGGGGGGTATGAGATGGCAAAAAAGCACAAATATTGAATTGATCAATTTTTATTACCATATACTTTACATTAGAAATGCTGTATTAGCCCTTGCATCAGAAATAGTTTCTTTAAATAAACTTAGTTTCCCTTAAACTGAAGCTTGTTCCTGCTTGTTTGAGAGTTGATGGGTTATTGGGGGTTCGAGAGGAAGGGTTTCAACTGAGCTTTTAAAATCTTAAATTTATTCATAATATAAAATCTCCCCTCTGGACTTTAAAATTAAAGTTCAAAATATTAAATAGAATTTCAGTGAAACAGTCGCCCCAATGAAATAATTTGTAGTTAACAAAAGAGAATGCAGAACAGATTAATTAATTCTATGTACTTTGGGGGATTTTTGTCTTCAAGTTATTCCAGTTCTTGTATTTGTTTGGTCTTTGACAAGGTTTATTTGTATTTGTTGTTGGGTTTTTTCAGTCACAGCTGACATTCAACATAATTTTTTTTAAGCTTTTAGCATCTGACCTTTTTTTTAAAGATTATTTTTAGACAGTGGGAAAGGGAGGGAGAGAGGGAGAGAAACATCAATGTGTGGTTGCCTCTTGTGCACCCCCTGCCGGGGACCTGGCCCACAACCCAGCAATGTACCCTGACCGGGAATCGAACCAGCAACCCTTTGGTTTACAGGCCAGCACTCAGTCCACTGAGCCACCCAGCCAGGGCTCAACATACTAGTTTAAGGTGCCAAACTAGTTGACTTCTGTTTTGAAAGATCACTATCACTCTGGTGGTTAGACATTTATATAACTTAAGAAGTGATTCCCCCAAAAGTTCAGTACTGGCCTGGCCCTATATATAGTTATTACAATATCATTGACTGTATTCCCTATAGTGTACTTTACATCCCATGACTATTTTGTAACTACCGATTTGTACTTCTTAACACCTTCACCTTTTTCACCCAGCCCTTCATCCCCCTTCCATCTGGCAACCATGTTTGTTTTCTATATGTATGAGTTAGATTGTTTTTATTTTGTTCTTCAGACTTCACATATAAGTTGAAATCATAGGATATTTGGCTTACTTCACTTAGCATAATGATATCTAGTTCCATTCATGTTGTTGCAAATGGTAAGATTGTTCTTTTTATAGCCAAGTAACATTCTTCTGGAGGCCAGGCCCCTTGTAGTACAGGCTTGCCCTGCTGAGTGAGTGTTCTGGGAACCCACCTGTATTACTGTACCAGCTGATGTTGTGAGAGACTGTTCTGCTTCAGTGAATGCTTTTATGAAGACTTTGAATGCATTTACCCATTTCATGATAGGTGATTTGTGGGTGCCCCGGCCCACACCAGGCTGAGCGTTCAGCAGTTTTTGACCAAAACCAGCAGGACCTCTGTGCCCCACTCTCCCTATTCACCTGATCTTATCCTGAGTGACTTTTTTGTTTCCCTGGGTGAAAAAAGTTCTCAAAGGGAAACGTTTTGCCAATGTGGAAGAGGTGAAACAAAACACAGCAGAAGCACTAAACACCGAAATTGAGGAGTTTAAAAAATTTTGAGCAGTGGAAAAAAAACTGTTAGGTGTATTGCATCAAATGGAGAGTACTTTGAAGGTGACTGAAGTTTAAATATGCAATAAGAAGTATACAATTTTTTTTTATAAATAAATTTCAGAGTTTTTGGGGGGTCCCCCCCTCATATGTACCACAGTTGTCTATTGATGGACACATAGGTTGCCTCCATATCTTGACTATGAAATGTCCTTTGTCTCTTGTTATAGCCTTCGTTTTTAAGTCTGTTTTGTTGGATACAGATATTGCTACCCCAGCTTTTTAAAATTTCCCTTTGCATGAAATATCTCTTCCATTCCTATACTTTTGAGTCTGTGTTTTTCAATTTCACGTGGGTCTCTTGTAGGTAGCATATGTATGAGTTATTCTCTTAACCATTCAGCCACCCTGTGTCTTCATTGGAACATTTAATATGCTTACAGTTAAAGTGGTTATTGATAGGTATGTAGTTATCGCTATTTTATTATTCATTTTTGTTTTTTAAAGAAACTGCTTAAACATTTCTTGTAATACTTGTTTGGTAGTAATGAACTCCTTTATCTTTTTCTTGTCTAAGAAGCTCTTTATGTATTCAATTCTAAATGACAGCCTTGCTGGGTAATCTTGGTTGTAGGTCCTTGCTCTTCATGACTTACTATTTCTCGCCAGTCCCTTTTAGCCTGCAAAGTTTCTATTTGAGAAATCTGCTGACAGTTTTATGGGAGGTCCCTTGTATGTAACTAACTGCTTTTCCCTTGCTGACTTTAAGATTCTTTGTCTTTAACCTTTGGTATTTTAATTATGGTGTGTTTTGGTGTGGGCCTCTATGCATTCATCTTGTTTGGGACTCTGCACTTACTGGATTTGTACGTCTGTTTCCTCCACCATGTTAGGGAAGTTTTTAGTCATTATTTCTTTAAATAGGTTTTAGTCATTTGCTCTCTCTCTTCGGATACCACTATGGTGCAGATACTACCCTTGATGTTGTTCCAGAAGCCCCTTAAACTATCCTCATTTTTTTAAAATTCTTTTTTCTTTTTGCTGCTCTGATTGTTTTCTGCTCCCTTGTCTTCAGATTGCCGATTTGATACTCTGCTTTATTTAATCTTATGTTTATTACACCTACTGTATTCTTCGTTTCTGTCTGGGTTTTTTTTTTTATAGTTTCCATCTCTTTGTGTAAATTCTCACTGATTTCATCTATTCTTCCCCTAAGTTCAATAAACATCCTTATAACAAGCGTTTTGTACTCTGGTAATTGCCTCCATTTAGTTTTTTTTTTTTCTGGAAATTTCTCTTGTTTTTTCATTTGGGACATGTTTCATTTGGGCCAAAATAAGGCTGCTCCCTGTGTTTGTTTCTATGGATTAGATAGATCTGCTATGTCTCCCAGAGTTGGCAAAGTGGCTTAATGTAGTAGGTGTCCAGTGGAGCTCAGTGGTGCAGTCTCTCTCTGGTCACATGACCTGGGTGCTCCAGGGGTGTCCTTTGTGTGGATTGAGTGCCCTCCTGTTATAGTTAAGCCTTGATTGCTGCTGGCACGTTAATGGGTGGGATTAACTGACTGGCTGTGAGGACTAGTCATGACAACAGTGAGTGAGCTGTTGTGCGTGGGCTGACCCCATAGAGCGAGATTTGATATAGCAGGGCTCTGGTGCCCGCTGAGTCCATCCTTTGAGTGTGTCATCTGTGGAGCTAATTGGGTGGTGCTCTGTGGTAGTCTGAATCCAGTCACTGGGTGTCTTTGTTCTGGGGCCTCTTTGGTGGGGGGGGGGGGCTTCGTTGCAGACTTATCAGCAGCTGCCTGTGCCCAACCCAGGGCAACCTGGCAGGAGCTACAAAGTGATCTGCAGTTGCTAGCTACCTGTGCTGGTATTGGAGGCACCTGGGAGAGGATATGCTGTGAACTGAGGCTGGCTCCTGCTAGTTCCAGGCTGGGGGCTGCTTAGCAAGAGGTACAGGACACACCTAGGCCAGATGCTACTTGTTTGTGGTTTGGGGACCTTTCAGAAATTTTAGGAAAGTCCACAGCTCAGGCTGAGGCCAGCCACTTAGGAGTAACAGCCTCTGAAAGACATTCAAGCCTATGTGCAAGTTGAGTGGGGTGGGTTCTCAGGGAATCACCAGGGTGTGGTGAGTTTGATGGAGATTCAGATTTGGCGTCCACCTGCACATGCAGGCTGGGTTGCGGGAGGGTTCAGCAAAGGAATAATGGTACCTGCCAGCCCTTTAGTTCCCAGAGAGCTTTCCCTGCAGCTCTTGCTTTGAAGCCAGACAATTCAGTTCTTCCTCATATGTTCCTGGTGCTTTTTGAGCTGCTGCCCTAGTGCTGGAGCTCAGTGAGTGACTGTTAGCAAGTAAATCCATGCATGGGTCATTTAGAGGACATGAAGGTCTACAGCAGCCCTCCATCTCACCTGACCAGGATGGAATCTCCACTGCTTTTCAGTTCCAGTTGGGATTTTTGTTCCCTATGCCTGTTCACAGATTTCTCTCTCTCCACAGCTGAGATACCCCTCCTGATTCTTAACCACCGCACATGGCTGTGGGACCAGCCCATTTTGGGTCATGACCCCTTCTACCAGTCTTGGTGTGCCTTCTTTATATCCTTAGTTACAGTTCTGTTCAGCTCTTCAGGTGGTTCTCAAGGGTCCTATAATTTAGCTGTAATTTTGATGTCAGGGGGGACGGCAAGCACAGTGTTTACCTATTCCATCATCCATCTTGACTGGTAGCCTGACAATGTGTATTTGTATCAGTTGGTAAAACTCCTCAGAGCTATCTTTTGGTTAATCTAAAGCAATTCTGTTTGGAATCAATTTCACTTGGGCAAAAGTAGTGTCCGCAGGATTTAGGGACAATTCATTCATTTTCATTTACATTGCTGCCGGGAGGAAGTGGCTTATAAAATGTCAAGATTTGGGACTTTAGGAGGATTCTAATTTGAGGATTATTTTTCTCATAACTCTATTGTTCAAGTGGCTGTTTCCCTGTTTGGATTCTGGGCCCTAGTCTGTGGCTGAGTGGTAACCACTAGTCATATTCTTGCCAAACTTGTCTGAGACTTATTTCCCTTAATTCTATCCTAACCAGAAGGCTTGAAAAAAGGAGTCTGTTCTTAGGCAGACTTACAAGCCTACTGCTAACTGATTGCAGTTGAATTTTGAGTGCTTGACAGATTTTAGTGTCCACGAATTTATTGTTGCATAGTTACTTTCTATTTGAAGAGATGAGCTTCGGATCTCTTGGCCCAAAGGCTGGGACATAATTTTGTCAGTTGTAGATGTATCCAATTTTCTGTCACATTTTGTTGATTTTCTAATCCCTTCAGATAATGCAGGTGTTTCTAAAAGTTTACTGTGAGAACCCTGGATAATTTCTTTGAAGCACAGAATCAGAAATTTCCTATCTTGCTCAAGTTCTTATTCTTCCTCTGCTAAAGAAGGTCAGGAACAGAACTTCACTGGGGCAGAAGCTCCAGCTTTTGAGCATGGCCTTAGAGTGAAGGGGTAGGACCCGGGCCCCTGTGAGCCTAGGTCTGATGACGTGTGACTCCATGGTTCTGGACTGACAT